GACAAGCATACATTTCATTAATGACTGGGAGATTATAATAATTTTCTAGATTGCACTTGAAAACTGATAATTCTTCTCTCAAGTGATAGGTGATTGTCAGTATTTACTCTTACAGTATGTCTATCTGTTGTTCCCATGTTTCCCTGGAGTGTGCCAGATATGTGGCCAAAAGTGGCTGTTTGCATGCCCTCTATCTTTTAGTTATTTGGTTTTGATGATAACAAATATCAATAATTACGTTTGGAAAGGTTGCAAGCAGTATTTTGTTTTACACTTTCGTTTTGTTGGTGGTTTTTTTTTTTTTTTTTAGATAAGTATTTGTTACATTTCTTGATGGAGAAATTGAATCAGGTGGAATGCACTGGCAGGGGGGAAAGAGATTGCTTTTCACATGGGGAGCACTGGAGCACGTTCATGTCTGTGGGGAGGCTCTAGGAGGCCACAGGGTGTGTATGTCAGGCAAATCCAGAAGAGTAAACTTGAACAGGAGCACTGTAAGCCTTCTGGGAGAAGCAGGGAGCTGCAGACAGCCAGAACCCAGAGACTGCAACTTCCAAGGTCCCAACGGGCACTCTTAAAGTTTGCTGCCACTCAGAAAGTTATTGATCTAATAGGAACAAAGCTGGGAAACAAGGACCTGTCTTCAAGGACTCAGTGCGGACTGTTCATTGAATACCTTTTGTCTTGGTTTGGGCTGAAATAGAGTTAATATTCCTTTTCAGGGACTAGATGAGTGCTGTGGTTTGGATTCAGCTTTGGGTTTGGTATGGGAAGAATGCTGGTAGCACACTGATGTTTTCAGCTGCTGCCGAGACTTCAAGGACTCTCCGACTCCCCACGTCCTGCCCGTGCGCCAGGGCACAGGGAGCAGGGAGGGAGCACGGCCACAGCACCAGACCCAAACTGGCCAGTGAAATATTCCATATCATGGCACGTCGTGCTCACTGTATAGAGGAGGGGTGGTCGGGAAGGGGCTCTCTCGCTCTCTCTCTCTCTCTCTCTCTCTCTCTCTCTCTCTCTCTCTCTCTCTCTCTCTCTCTCTCTCTCTCTCTCTCTCTCTCTCTCTCTCTCTCTCTCACTTCCAGGATTGCAGTTGCAGGGTCTTGGTATCTCGGGGTCGCTGGCCGGGAACGGGCTGGGGATTGGTCAGCGGGTGGTCAGCAATTACGCTGTACATTGCCTGGTTATATATTGCTTTTTGGTTTCCCCCTATCATCATTACTGTTCTCGTTTTATTGCCATTATTGAACTGTTCCTATCTCAGCCTGCGAGTCTCCCTTCACCCCTCTGATCCCCTTCCCCATTCCCAGGTGGGGAGGGGGAAGGGAGGGTGACCAGCTGAGGGGGTTGGTTGCTGACCAGGCCGAAACCACAACACCTTTCCAAAGTCTTCTGACAAGTCTGTTTTTTTCCCAAATTGCATCCTCTCATGAAGTGAAATACTGAAGCGATTGTTTTCCTTCTCTTTTTGCATGAGAATATTTCTGGCTGTTCTAGGTAAAAGACTACCTATGTTTGTAATACACAGTGCCAAACTCCTGACATGCATCTGATAGATAGTTAATTTGCCTGAATGGTTTTTGATTGATTTGATTCCTACTGCCCCATGAATTGTCTGAGATGCCTTTTGCTGGCATCAAGTTGCCGCAGTGTGTTATCCTGAATTTAACTAGACTATCCAAAGAGTAACAAAGATCTCTGTGGCTGAGGACTGTTACTCCAAGAATCAGACCAGGAGCCTGGATCTTCTGAGCATTTGCAGCTCTTGCTTATTCTTGAACTTTCTCATTCTGAATTTGTCACCTTGAACCTCAGTTGCCTCTGGCTGGCATAGCTGTTAAATGGTTGTTGGAACAAACAGTGTACTCAGATCTAGCAGTTTTGGATGTGAAGGGAACAAGCTTTTCAGTTTAAGATTCATCCCCAGCTCTTAGCTAGCCACCTTTCTTACAGAAGCAGCTGGGGTTTTTCACTTGTTAGACTGTTCCCCACTGGTACTTAGATTCTGTCTTCACCTGTTGAATGGATGTTCCCTTTGAGACCCCTCTCCCTTGTCATCGTTTAATACCAGTTGGCAACTAAGCACCACCCAGCTGCTCACTTGCTCTGTCTTGTTGGAATGGGGGAGAGCATCAGAAGGGTAAAAGTGACAAAACTCATGGGTTAAGATAAAGACAGTTTAATAGGTAAAGCAGAAGCCACGCACGCAAACAAAACAAAACAAGGAATTCATTCGCCACTTCTCATGGGCAGGCAGGTGCTCAGCCAGCTCGAGGAAAGTCAGGCTCCATCATCTGTAATGATGACTTGGGAAGACAAAATGATATCACTCTGAACGTCACCCCTTCCTCCTTCTTCCCCCTGCTTTATATGCTGAGCATGACACCATATGGTATGGAATTTCCCAGTCTGTGAGTTGGGGCCAGCTGTCCCAGCTGTGTCCCCTTCCCAACTGCTTATGCACCCCCAGCCTGCTCGCAGGTGGGGTGGTATGAGAATCTGAAAAGACCTTGGCTCTGTGTAAGCGTTGCTTAGTGAAAACTGAAACATGAAACATGAAACATCTTTGTGTTATCAATACTGTTTGCATCACAAAACCAAAACACAGCCCCATACCAGCTACTATGAAGAAAATTAACTTTATCTCACCCAAAATCATTGCATCCCTCCCATCATTTCACGGTTTCAGAGCCAGAAATGTAACACTCTGTGTGTGCCCCTTATCCAGGCTGCAGAATGAAAAGTCCAAACATGAACATTAGCTGTACTTTGGTCTTTTGATTTTACTACAAGACACTTCAGGAAGAATCTTCATCTGTTTGTGGTCAGTAATTCCTAGAGTTTGGCTGTCTTGCTAGGTAACAAGCTGTGTAGGTGTAGGCTGTAAGATTGCTACGCATCAGGGCAGGTCGGCTCAGGCAGCATTAGAGAAATGCTTCTGTCCTTTGTATCCTTTGGGGGGCTCCTTTCAGACTTCTGTTAAGCATGCCTCTGTTGCTGCAGCCTTAAGTCATGAAGTTGGTCTGCTCTTGTTCATGCAACTGCTTGGAGACCTCCTTCCAGACAGTAGTAATTTGTTGAATATGCTGGTCAGTGTCTTTTAAATGTGAATGTGTGTTTGAATAGATGAATAAAGGGAAAGGGAAGGTATGCATCAGTAACTGCACCAGGTTGAACTGGTCCACCATTGTAAATGTTTATGACCCTGTGTTCTTCCTTGTTCCCCCAATTTCTAAAGCTTTGATGGATAGTGACCATCTATTCATGGTTACACATAAATATGCATACTTTTATAGGTATTGCTAAAGCAAAGGCTTCTTGGGTTTTCTATGCCTTGCTGTATGAGCACCTTCAGTGTGAATGATGGCATGGATGACATACTTGGCATTGCAGTTATGAAAAGATGCTTCCCTTTTTTGTCACTTGTAAACAGTTGCTCTAGGGAATAAAGATAGAATTGTATTATGCCATCATAAGTCTCTTTAGCTTTCATCGTGTGTGAATAATGTTTTGGCAGGCAAAACTTAATGAAGAAAAGTTACTTTGAGCTTTGAGGCTTCTTACTCTCTTAGAAATGATGCCTAACAAGGACATTACTCACATTACTCAGTGATCCTATGTCAATTCTGGTATCAAATTACTTCATCTTTACTGAGGAATAGAAAAAGATTTTTAACAGTATTGTTTTTTATCCTGCTTCTCAAAGGAACTTGCTGTTTCAGAGTTCTTCATAAATGGAAAGCATTAATTTCACCAGTCATCATTCACTAGTATATACATACAGTTTGACATCTATTTGGAAGCTCTTGTCTGTCCACTCCTAAGCTTTCCCTGTGGGAATCATGGTACATAGGTGTTCCATCAAATTACATGTTGCAACCTATCTGGTAAATTACTATTTACTTAACATTTGTCCACATTTCTATTTTGCCTGTTGCCTTTCAAGGGGTTTTGGAAATATGTGAGTAGATTAAAATACCTTATTAAATTACTTTAAACATTTTCAAAAAATTAACAATTACTTAGACTTTGTATATTTTTACTTGTAAAAATCATCCCTCTGAGAGTTGGGATGAGGGGATATGCAGAAGTAGATCCTGAACAGTCACCTAAAAACCTATCATTTGCAGTTCAACTGTAGAGTGGAGTGGCGCTCTAAGACCAGATTGAAGCATTGTGAAGTCAAGATTATTATTTGAGACATTCGAACTTCAAGTTAAAATATCTGGGGACATATGAAATAATGAACACTTTTGGGTTTGGGGTTTTTTATCTGTACTAGTGAGGTATCTAATTATATAAATGAAAAATATTCAAAATTAAGGCTTTGGTGTTGGAAGAACAGGCTTAAATATTTTATTACTTAGATATATAGCCTGTTGTCTGTAATGGGACTCCTTAATAACTTTTAAAAAAGTGTAAAATTTTCTAGTTTGAGGAGTGTATTTTTACTAAGAAACTCCAAATTTTTTACTGGTTTCAGATGGTTATCACTTGGATTGATCTTGGCAATGAAAAGATATTTGAACTCTGAGGCACTAGGAAAATATATTTTTAAAAGTCATCTGTAACAAAGAAAAACTTAAAATGTTGATAACTGTTTACCACTACCCTGACACATCTCCTGTTTCCGACTTCATTCTGACTGAAGAACATTTATTTACTTTAGAACGAAATATTCCAGACTGAAAGAAAGCCTGGATGAAGCATATTTGTTATCTGAAGGTATTAAGATATTTAACAAACAGATACTGACAAATCAAATTTAAATATGAATTCTTGTGCTTCCAGTAAGAACAGTAATGAAATAGTGGATGGACTTTTTCAGCAGAAAGTAGCACTTCTGAGTTTTTTTCTGTTTAATAGAAGCCATGATGATTTGCCAGTAGTTTTTGCTTCTTTTCATTTTTTGCTTCTTTTTTAGCCACCTGAAACTGGTTGCTGTTGGCAAAATAGCAACAGTTAGTTATGTTGTTATTAATGGGCTGATTTGTTTTCAGATCTCAATAGAGAACGACTACCTAGGCCCCAGAAGAATTGAGAGTCTGCAAAAAGAAGATGCTGATTGGCAGAGAAAAGCCCATATGGCGGTGCTTTCTATTCAAGATCTTACAGTTAAATACTTTGAAATAACAGCTAAAACACAGAAAGGTAGTTATTTTCTGCTATCCTATCTGTCAAATAACATCTTTAAAAATTCTTTTATGTTTATCCTATTTTGTATTGTACTGTGATTTTTTTTTTTTCCCATCCATCTTCCATGAGGAAAATGCAGTTGCCATTCCCGTTTGTTTTTTCTTCCATGTCTATTCAGATCTTTGACCAATAAACCTTTTCAGAACATCATCAGAAGTAAGCAAAATAGAAATTTTAGATAAAAGTTTCACAATCACTTTCTCAATGTGATTATATTAACTGCACTGTACCTTTGCAAAGAATTCAGGGAGCGTAGAGTCCCTGATGGATCCTGTCTTCTGTACTAGATATGGCAGACAACCATAGTAAGTGTTTATTGCCTTTCAATTAATCTCCTTTTTGTGTCTCCCTTGCCTTTCAATAATCTTTTTCATAGCTCTAGATATTAAGCAACAGCTCAGTTTAACTGCTCAGTGAAAGCTGCTCTGTTCAGAAATCTTCATGGATATAGCCTTGACATTTCTATGTTTGGAGAATGCAGCAGTTTTACTAAGGATTTGGTACAGTAAAACCAAGTCATATGACTTGCCATGTACATCTGTGTTCTCAACCTCATACCATTTTAACTCACCTATCAGTTTATTAGGGCAAACACACCTGAGGATGTGGTTTCATGTCACCTCTTTCAGTTCGACTGTGGGCTACCACTGACAGAGTTTGTCTCACTGTCTTCGGTGCCTGACTGTGGGTTCCTGTGTCTTTCTTTGCCTTGGTGACAGTGTGTAACCAGATAAATGAGTTGTACCTTTGGGAGAAGAATCTTTTTTGATGGGTAGATTTCCTGTCATCTCCCTACAGGACCGCTAGATGTGCCTTTAAACAAAGCAGTCACTGCAAAATGATTCCTTTCGGTGACAACCCAAGTTAAGCATAACATGAAACTCCGCCTTATTCTGAAAAAGTGACTAAACCAGTACAAGCATGTTGGAATTAATTTAATTAGAGCAAATTCTAAATGTATTTAATTACTTTGGTTCCTTTTCTACAAAGGCAGCAAATAAAATACCCTATTAGTTGAAAAAGAATGTATATTTACAGTTACTTACTTCTTGTTTCATTCACATGCTTTTTCTATGTACAGTAGTCAGGACTGCGGGGAAAAACACTGGGAAATGAAATGCCTGGAGACTCTTTACAACCGTAGACCTTTGGTATACAGGTTACTTGCCTGTTTTATGTTTTGGGGTTTTTTGGCCTCCTGCTGATCACAGGGTGGTCTTACATACCAAAATACTAACAGATGGCAGAGGAAAACCACATGAGAACATAAAGGCATTTTTTTATTACCTAACAGCAGCACATAATATCTTCTAGCACCAGGGGACTGAATGCTACCTCTTTGATTGTGTGACTTTTGTGGCTTTTAATTTGCAAAGCTAAGTGTACAGTATCATGTGATAGTTCTATATCTTAAAAATGTTGAAAATCTCACATGTGTCAGCCTAGATGTTGTTTGGGGCTCAACAGTAGAAAATCTGAATCAGGCAGGGGACTCCTGCTACTCTGAAGTCTTCCTGAAAAGATTTATATCTACATATTTAGATCAGGTTATAATTTGCCTAGTTAATTTGAAATAATTTTGTGATGGAACCTGCATTTTGAGTTAAAAGATAGATGTTATTTAAATTTAATTCCGTGTTCTTACAGAATTGCACTTGAGGTCAAGCTGAAATTTTTGTTTTAAATTGTAATTTTTTTTTCACTCCACAGATTTGTTTAAACTTATGACTGCAGTGCAGAAGTTAAGGGAAACCGATGACTTTAGTAGCTCATAATTGGTGCTTTCAGAAGTGAGAAAAGTTTGGGATTCAGTTTAAGACCACATGGTAGCATTAATGAGATTTTTATTAAGTCAGGAATTCTGCAACAGTAGTTCAAGTTTTCAGGTACTGTGTGTTCAGAATGGTCCCTCCATGGATACAAAAATTGGAATTATAATGATAAAATGATCAACAGATAACTAAATTGCATATTTACGTGAATCCTAAGAGTACTTACATCCTGGACTTGAACATTAATACTATGTAGAATGACTACTCCCTGCTAAGAGAACTTTATATGCTTTTGGATACAAATGTATGCACTGTGTCTTCACTAGAATCACTAGTGATCTGAAGAGTAGACTGGTAAGATGTCTGCCTTTTCTTCCTTTCCGTAGCTGTGTATGATCGAATGCGAGCAGACCAGAAAAAATTTGGTAAGGCAGCATGGGCAGCAGCAGTGGAACGTATGGAAAAGCTTCAATATGCAGTTTCTAAGGAGACTTTGCAGTTGATGCGTGCTAAAGAAATCTGTTTGGAGCAGAAGAAACATGCACTGAAAGAGGAGGTAATTTTTCACAGCAATAAATAGAAAGATAAAGCATGCAGAAAAAGTCTATGCCTTAAAGAGTGTTGAAGTACTCAAAACAAACCCAGACCTGAAAGTCATTATTTTTCTGCTTTTGTTATTAAAAGTCAGTATTTAAAATTTTGCTACATTCTACCACGTTAGACAAATGGAGTTTGCAATGTACTTGCTGTAGTTTTTGTGCCACTTACATATGTTTTCTCTACACCTTTTCCTGGTTAGTCAATCAGGAAGACAGTTTTTACTGTTAATGTTTACAGCTCTCCACTGAGATGAATAAAATGAAGATAAGGGATAGGACAGAAATCTGCTGCTATGTAATTTCCACACTTTAGCTCTCAGAGGCGTGACTACCTTTTTGAAATAATTCTGACATTCCAGATGGAAGGTGTCTGAACATTAGTGTGTAGACAGATGACTAGTCTATTGTACTGCACCCTCTTTGTCTCTGTTTACCCTAATTATTAAGGCAGTCTTCCAGAGGGGATTGTGCTAGTTACAGTTTTCATGAGGGAAGAGTGTGTGCATTAAGCTGTGTTTAAATGTCTTGGAAGAAAAACGCACACATTGGGTTTTATGGCACCCTCCTCAAAAGCAAAATTGCTATAAATTCTCTTCTAAAATTTGCTATCATGTGGTTATTTGGATCTAAGAACTTTGTCATACTAATGTAAATTTACATTCTACCAAATCAGTTGCCTGTTCTTAGAGCACTCTTCAAATATTTCAGCAAAATGTGACTACACTGTTGTCTCTGTTACAAAAAGGTTATCCAGAGAACTCAGGACTTTAGCACTGTATATATTGACAGGTTTGTGAGCCTGATAAGCTACATGCCTATTTTAGGAGCTTCTGTTGAAGACAGCTTGATCTGCAAGGAGGAGAGAGTACATGCAAGACCCAGAGTATGAAAATAGTTCTCTCCATTTCAATGATCTTCAGGTTTAGAAAGCCAAGAGTTGTCTGGAAACCTGGGTGTTGTCATCCTTAGCTAAGAGTTGATGAGAGAATCCAGCAGTACTAATTGGAAATATTATATTGAGTATGTTTACATATTTAGAGCAGCCATGCATCATCTTTTCTATAACGTATCTTATTTTTCTCCCAGTGGATACCTTCTGTGAATTTTTGTTGAATGAGATCTCAGTCTGGTAAAGGAGTGGTTTTTTTTTTATTTGCAAAAGCATTAGGAGCTTCACAGTATTGTAGTATGCAGGGGGGTATACTTTGACCTCTGAACTGAGAGTTTGGTGGATGGAGGAATGAGGAACATTTGATGGGCATGCATGGGCATGATGCTTTGGAATGCTGTATTATAAGGCATAGAGAGCTCTGGGTCAAAACATAGTGATGAGGAAATATGAGGACCATCTTCTGTTCTGAAACATCTTTATTTTTGCTTTTGCTTCATACTGGAAAAGAAGGATTGTAGTCTTAAAGAAAATATTTGCAGAACTGAAGTACCTTCTCTGTCAAACTATTTAGCTACTGTTTTCTAGGCACAGCAGATAAACCCAGGATATTAATTTAAAAAGACTAAAATACTCAAACTAATTGGTTAGGGTTTGAGTTGAGGATTAAGACAGAATGACAATTCAGAGCAAAGACCAGATCTGACTGTTTATGAGGACCCTGTTGGTGTTCATCAGGTTGTCTATGGATTTTGAATGTTAAGTCTTGGAAAAGAAAAAAGTTTATAAAACCAGTGGCACACCCTTTTGAAGAGGAGATGATGTTTCTTTCAGTGTCTGAATTTTTTCTGATTGTCCAGAATGCTAATTGTAAGCGAACATCTTTAACTTCATTTTTTATAATAGTGTATCCTGTACTGTTATGGTCTGACTATAGTTGTCTCCTAATACTTAAATTATTGGAGAAATACTTCTGTTCCAGAAGTTGCTAGGTATGGGTGAGAACCTGCAATTTATCAGTCATCAGAATATTCCATGTTTCCCTTAAAATCATTTAGAAATTCTTTAAAATTCTTTTCTGCTGATTCTGAGGATGAGCTTCCATATTCACACTTAAAGACCTGAGGTTTTTTTCTGAATTTTACTCCCCTCTTCTGAGATTTCTCAGCAACAGTGATGAATTAAAATGAATACTTGAACTAGAGAACAGTCAGGATTCACATGGGGTAGACTGAAACATGACTTTGTGTTCTGTTTGAACAGTAACAGATTACTTAAAAGGCTAGATAATAGAAAATTTAATAATTTAATATACACTGCTAGAGAAAAGCAATACAAATTTTTACCATGAACTACAGGTTAATTACATTGTAAATGACAGCAGATGAGAATGGCCATGGTCTTGTAAACTGGTAGCAGTGCAATAGAGTCACTAGTGCAACAGGGTGGCAGAGCAGCAGATGCTCTCGTCTGTCAAATCGGGTATTTCCAGCAAAGGGAGAATAATTAGTGTCACTCCACATGAACTTGTAAGATTTCTTCTGTACCTTTTTTCTACACATTTTTGATCACCCAATCATGAGGCGCGGAATCACGACTTTACAACCAGGTTATAAAGTAGGTATGTTTATTCAGCGCTGGGAACATGGGGGAGAATTCCACCACAGGTGTGAGCCACTTGGAGCAGAAAACAGCCCCTTTTTATTGCTTAAAAACATTACATATTCACTAATTCTAATACATATCCATCACAACTCTGAGGACAGGGAGGGAATATTACAATTAGTTCCGAGAAATCATTAACATATCCCCCCCCAATTCCTCCCATCGTGCTTGTGCAGTGCTCCCTGGTGGTTGTGGGCAGGGGTCTTCAGATGAAGGCTCGTAGTCTTCTTCACTGTGTTCACTAGTTGACCCTTACTTCTGCACAGACTCAGTCCTTTGGTCACCTACACCTTGTCCTTCAAGTCTGGGCTAATTTGCAGCTCCTTTGTCTTTATGGGTCAGTGGTTTTGGTTCCTCTCTTATCTCAAGGACAAGAGATACCAGGGATGGCCCATCCTTCCTTCCATTCAATCACAAGGGAGTTGCCGTCCTTTGATGTGGACCATCAATGGCCCATCGTGTTCTTTCTCATTCCATTGCAAAGGATTTACCATCCTTTGGAGGCCATCTGGTGAGCATCCCAAGAAGGGGGGGGCTATCGGGTTAGTGTGAGCATCCCCTGAAGGGGGGGGCTATTGGGTTAGTGTTTCCTGAGATCACAAGAAGGATTAGTTCTAACTGGAGCAGTTCTAGGGAGGGCTACCACAATGATGCCAGGAACAGTGAGTCTGTTTTACAAGGGGTTGAAATTGTTTTGACAAATAAAATGAAGACTGAGATGATACAAAATACTAATGGCAATAAATATTAGTAAAGAGCAATGCATGTTGCTGTTCAGTACTGGCACAAGAACAAATGGAATTACTTAATTGTGAATACAGTGGAAATACAGAAGTAGTATCCTGGCAGTTAGGATGGATTATACGGAATGGACTTTCAGTGGGAGTAACAAACAGTTTTGCGGAAGCCTTTTGTTTTGTTTTTGTTTTTACTAAAACAGAATAAAAAACCAATAACAATACAGAAATTATTTTAAGAACTCAGTTAATGCAAGCAGTTAATTTCAGATTTGTCTGAAAACATTCCATGGTGATAGAAAGCTGAATTTGGTGGCCTTCATGTCTGTACTCCATGTTTAGCTATTTTTCTATTAATTTTGTTACCTGTGCTTTTAATATGTTTGTTCATAGCTCTTGTCAGAGACTTTCTGTTTAAACCTTTTATATCTTTATTAACATTGTGTGGGTTTACAGATTATATATTTGTGCCTTATAACTATTAAGAAACCTAGGTTCTTGCTTAAGTTCTTCACTTAGTATGAATGAGATGACAAAGACAGTAAGGGCCAGAGAGATGAAATTATTTGCTTGAGTTAATGCAGGAAGTTGTGGCATAGCAGGAAATTGAACTCCGATCTCCTCAGTTCTGGTTCTTTGTCCAACAGCAAAATGTTTCTTTCCTGTAACATTCTTACATTAACGTTCTTTGTGTTTCTTTCACCATGTTGATAAGCCTGAAACCTAACAAGGATGCAGCAATTTACTAGTACAGATTAGACAGCAATTTTTAACATTAAGAATTGAATCACCTTTAAATTTTCAACAAAAAAAGATTAAATTTTTCTAGGAGTGATGATACGAATTTGAATTACCACACATTTATAGCATCTTACATGAGAATCAGTCCTGTTTTGAAAACTAGTCTCTAATTCACTTAAAATATGCCATCATTATGTCATTTATTGTTCTCGTCACAATTAGTAACTTAATGGATGCAGAGTAATAGGATGGTGTAACAAGACATTTTGGTGTAACACTGGGCTGAAGCATAACTTTTACATTATTGATTGTAAGATTTATGATAGTCACTTAAGGACCTAATGAGCCTTTCAGGCTAATGGTTGATATACAAAAAAATGCATTCAGTGAATATACAATATGGTAGAAGAAATTTTTGAAGTAGACATTACAAGAATTAATTCACAGGTCTTATGTCTGTCAATCTTACATGTAAATAAGCGTAATATACAGAACTGTATCCTTAGTGTATAATTGAACTGTGAAATAGCTGTCAGTCGATAATGATGCAGGTGCTACAAGCATACATGCTATAAAAAGAGTGATAGCATAAATTTATGAAGTGAAGTCCAGTAAGTCTATTTTGTATAAAAGGCAGCACTGTGATTTAAGCTCTGCTGCAAGCTCTGCTAGAGACTGATGAAACAGTTTAGGGAGCTATCACTGTCCTGCCTGCTGTGTTTTGTCTTCCTGGGTATTTGCAGTTAACCTTTGTCCAAAACAGGGTATTGAGTAAGATGGATCTTTGGTTTAATTCAGTACAGATATCTTTCTGGTTTAGTACAGTTATATTTAAACATGTGTGGAAAATAAAACCAAGGAAACTCATTTCTGGCTACTAAATTACTGATACAGTTTTACACCTTGAAGAAACCATCATTATGTAAAAAGATACTAGTGAATATTTTTTTAAAATGTATAGTTTTCTAGGTCCTATATTTTTGCTTGGTAGACATCCCTTTTTAATGATTGAATGTCTGTAATAGAAAAATTAGACCATGTTTTATCAGAATGGTAATGTAGATAGTTTCTCTGAGATAACGCATGAAGGTAATTGTAAATTTTACTGGAGATTGGTGATCTATCAGAGATACTGGGGATTTTTGAGCAGTTACTTGAATGTGGCCCTAACTCTTCTGCATGCAGGCTGTACAGCTGCATGGCTTTGAATTCCCTTCAAAGAGAGGCAGCACATAAGATCCCATTGCATGTCTGGGTTTCTTAAATATTGTGTGAATGGCTAACTGTATTGAGCAGTTAAATCTTGTTTGGCTGAATGACAGAGGATGACTTTTGTTCACTTTGTGTCTTGTGTCACTTTTCTGTGTCAAACATAAGACACAAATAAGCACTAAAATATATATAGATATTTTAATTTAGATCTTTTATTCTCCTGTGAAGGACTCCAGAAACAGTGAAACTCCTCAGTTAAGTTGTAATTAGAAGAGGATTGGTGCATGTAATTATCCTTGTTTCTGTAACCTTCCACTTTTTTTCCTCAGTTCATGTTTAATGACAGTTTTATCTGTAGTTACTAGATGCTGTTAGTGAAACAACTTTTAGACTTTTTGAACTGAATATAAGAAAATACTAATTTCATTATGTATTTTTAAAGAATCAAGTAGTAGGGCAAAGGAGTGGTGGGGATATTTCACACTATGCACTGTATGACTTGTCACTTGGTTGGTCAGAAGGTGTAATTCAAAGCCATGGAATTTTATTGCCATATAGAAGAAATGTCACATACTAAAGATGTCTGAAAGTGTGTGGCTGATCAAATCCTATCTTATCCTCTTGATGTGTTAAATTTAAACATTTAATGTACCAGACTGTATCTAGCTGTCATCGTAAAGTCTGTGGTTTTGTTCTTCTTGTTATCCTGGAGTTGTGTGGGTTTTGTTTGCTTTTTGTTTTTTTGTTTTGTTTTTTTTTTTTTTCTCTTTTCATTTAGATGCAGAGCCTGAAAGGTGGTACAGAAGCCATAGCCCATTTGGACCAGTTAGAAGCTGATTATTATGATCTACAGCTTCAATTATACGAAGTGCAGTTTGAGATCTTGAAATGTGAAGAGCTGCTGCTGACAGCACAACTTGAAAGCATCAGAAGACTGATGTCAGGTGCTTTATGCATTTTAATTAAGACGTAATCTGTGAAAGATAATTCTCTTCCTAAGAGTAGTAAAGCCTGTGGGAATAAAATGAGAACAGGTTCTTTACCATATGAAGAGCTGGATTTTCTAACATACGTACTGTTAGATTAAAATTTACGCCTGTTCACAAGGCATATCCATACACATGGTCTGGTTCTCATTGTCTGTGTTTGGAAGTGAGCATGTAAGATACCATGTAAGTGTTGGAAAACTAAATTCAGGGAGGAGGAAATGTCATCGTTACTGGATTTGTCTCATTCAAAATTTTCATTGATATTATTAATTTATTTGAAATGATTGGTTTTCAAGAGGTATTCCTGCAAATTGGAATCCTTCATCTAGACTTTGAAGCTTGATGTATTGCCATTTCACTGATTTAGAGCAGTGATGCAAACCTTATGTTTCCAGAACCTACTAAACCTTGTGTACTTAGAAACTATGGAAATGGTACGGATATATCATACATTGTTTTTGAATCCAGTTCTGTCCTTTGCACCTATCTGTAGTTAATGTTTTTATTCACATAAGCTCTGTTTTACTGTTTAGTGCATAGGACTTACATATCAAATTTAGTTATGGATAGAAAAGTCACTTAAGAGAGATTTGAAACTGTATTGTGTTATGAGTTGCCTCTGGAAACAGAGGAAGCTTAGCTATTACAGATTCTTCTCACTGTTAGGTGAATCTCCTCCTTTTAGACTTGAAGTGGCAACAACTATAACTGCATGTATGGAAGATGAGATTTGAAAACTCTGTAAATGACTTAGAAATCTGGCATCTTCGACTGAGTGCCTCTAGAAAGCTAGTTATTGCTTTAGAGATAGATAGTTTTTGTACTTGTGAAATTAGATACTTAATTCTGGTACTGAAGACATGGTATGGTTTACTTACCTACAGACCAAAGGAAATCCCTTGAAAAGGAAGCTGAGAAGGAATGTGTATCAAAATCCGTTCTCTGTGATGTAGTGATAGCAAAACCTAAGGTCCCTCAGAGATTAATCCTGCTTTAAAAACATCATAGGTCATTATGACTTGTCACTAAAGTTTTCTTCAGAACCCTCAAAAAAAAAAAAAACCAACCCCATGGCCTCACCAAAAATAAAACAAAACCCACAGTCAGCTAAACAACCAACCTCCTCCTTCCCCCATGGCAACAAAATAGTTCACTGTTCTGGCTTCCTTTGCTATTTTAAATTTATAAAGTATTCTTTAATGATAAATCCAAAAGGGTTTTTTTTTATTTTGTTTGGGGTTTTTTTTGGGTGGGGGTTGGGTTTTTTTGGTGGTAGGTTTTTTTTTTGCTTGGTTGGTTGCTTGGTTGGTTGGTTTGTGTTTTTTTTTTTTTTTTTTTTTTGTGGTTTTTTTTTTTTTTTGTTAGTTTGGTTTGGTTTTATTTTATTTTATTTGGTTTTTTTTTTTGTTTGTTTTGCTTTGCTTTTTCCCTATTAAAAACAGCTGTCTATGTAGAAAGAATTACTGTTTTTTTAACAACTCTCAGCTAATATCCTATAGGATAGAAAATGAGAAATACAGTTCTTAAATGTGTGGGAATTTAATTTAAAGGATGAAATTACCTCTTTGGACTACTTAGGTGGAGGGAATAGAACAATATGAAGAATGTGGTACTGAAGTGGCTACATCTCTTGAAGACTGTTCAGCACTAAATCTGAAAGAAAGCATCTAAAACATATAGTGGTGTTTTAATACGTGTTGTTTCCTATACTGTCAAAGAGAAAAGAATGGTCTGTTACATCTTCTGTTACACTTCCTTTGTAAAATATAGTCAGTAAAGCCTTTTAATTGTGCACATCTGTATGATTTGAAGTACATGTGTCTTGGTGATTTGTAGAGGCTGTTGCTATTCTTTACTCTTCGACTGTATTGGCTCTGCAAAGATATTTCAGAGTTTTGGATGTTACTTTGATGTGAGGGACATCAGCAGTTCTACTAGTGAAGTCCCAACAGAATTTTTTGAGAGCGTGATTTGATTTGGTTACTAGTGGGTTGTAAGCTAAAAGAAAAACATATTTTTTTCTACAAATTCAGCACACTGGATCTGAAAAGTAGAAAGTCATAATAGATTGTCAGATTATAAGCAACAGTACTAGTTTTTTACTGTCATTAAGCAGATACCTGCACTGAAATTCACAAAGTGTGCATTTATTAGGTTAGAGTTTTAAAGGGTCTTATCCTATCCATACAACCTATTTGTACATACTTGTAAGATGCTTTTTTGGTGGATGCACTTGTAAATTCCTGCCTTTAACTCTGCATGAAAGTGTTCTAAAACAAAATTTGCGTGTAAATTCTTCCATTTTGTAAGTGCGTGGCAAAATACAATTGTTGTTAGCTGTGAATCTTATTTTTACTCACTGATGGCTCAAAGTAGGTACTAGTGACTTGGCAGTTTTATGTATAAATGAAACTTTATGGATTTTTTTTTTTAAACTAAGCACTGAGGTAAAGAATCTAGTAGGTCTGGTTTTTATTTTAAGGTTAATATAGTGCTGCACTTTCTTTTCTGATCCTGCCATGTCTTCTGCTGAGCTGAAATTAGCACAATAATCAGAATTTTGGCTGCAGCAGGAACTGTAGATGCAAATAATATGAAGTGACAACAGCTTTTAAAATGGACAATGTACTGAAGAAAACCCTGCCCCTCTCCCCAAATAATCTAGTAGCAGAAGTAGGAGGAAACTATGGTCTTGCTCAAAATAGTTGATGAAGTTGAGTATGAGAAGTTTTGTTGGTGCTGCAAAGTAGACACTTGACAGTCATGCCAACTGTATCTGCCTTTTCCAGCCAGCAGTAGTGCATATCCCTCTTGGCATATTACAGAAAAATCCTACTTGATATGCTAGTGAAATAAGGAGCAAGAGGCCTTTGCTGCTTCTTCATCCCAACATTCTGCAAGGATTTATAATCATCACTCTTTCCTTCTTGGCAAGAGATGAGAAAGCAGTATTCAGAGATGATCTCAATGTTATACTGAATGCTTCACTCAGACTAAAAATCATGAGTGTTGATAAAACTATTAGTAATGACCTCCTTTTCAGGCCTGAAATGCTTTGAAGTTAACTTCCCACTGCTGCCTCTGAGCAGAAGCAGTGACTGGGAGGTCAAAAACCTCCTGAGAGAGGCTTTTTGGTGTTTTGTTGTGTGATTCCCCTTTCATGAAATTAATAGTCAGCTGTGGCAGAAGAATCTCTTGCTAAAGACTTCAGAGACTGTGTATCCTCAACTTCTTAGTAAAGACCAGAGGATATTACTGCACATTGTGAGTCCCTTGTATTAGTTGGGACCCAAAGACGTGTGGACATTATGATCATGTCAGGCTACAGACACAAGTGTACATTTACAGCTGCATTTGTTTTTCAGTGCTCTGAGCTTACCTGAATACCAGGCTGTGCTTCATTGTTATTGATTTCTGTTCTTCATATAAACTTTAATGCCCTACAGTGCTTTGCTGTTTAGTGCTTTTCCTCTGACCTTTTCATTTTTGATAGTCCTCTGAAAGGACTAGCATTCTTCTACATTAAATCTTGCAACTCAGTGGGACTGTTGTTGAACGAAACAAAAGGTTAATCAAATACAAACTATTGATTTGACTTTTTCATTGTTGACATTTTTAAAACAGAGAAGAGGGATGAAGTGGTATATTATGACACTTACGAAAGTATGGAAGCCATGCTTGAAAAAGAGGATGTGGCAACATCTATACACTTGCAGAAAGAGGAGCTACAAAAGTTACAACAAAAAATCCGTCAGCTGGAAGCAAGGCGTGGACGTATTTCAGCCAAGAAAGCCTACCTCAGAAATAAAAAGGTATTATTAAATTGCAAATTTCTAGCATAATTAGAAAATTTTAATAAAACTTCAAAAGGTTTAATTTCAGATACAACTTCCAAGCCTCCCAGAATTTTTGTGGATTATACTTACTACTTACTAAAAGTTGCTTTACAGAGTCCCGAATACAATAGCATGTATTATTAAATTGATATGTCTAAGATTCAGTTTACCCTTTAGCTTTAGGAACCAGAAATTACTTTGAAGTCAACCAAAAACTTGTTTCTGTTAACTAATCAGAATGCCTTCATGTGGAAAATACATGCTAGAACACATGTTTTTACAGAGAGTAGTTCCGTGTATTTTTGCAGAAGAGAATTTTCAAGGGTGTTTTCTCGCTAATGAGTCCTATTTTCATTCTCTTACCTCATCCTTTTAAACTTACATCATGTGTCATTGATACTCAGTATTCAGCACATATATATGAAATCCAGTATATATTCTTAATTTGTAAAACTTGGTGTGCTATTTAGGGCCACTTTCCTTTTTCATGTGTTAGATAATTGGGATGTTGTGCAGAAAATTGTTTTAATATAGGTAATGTTTTGAAATTGTGTATCAAGTGTATATAAATATGTTCACTCCTTTTTTCTAGAATCACTCGTTTATTGTTCCCTAGCAGTTTGTGCTTGTGTTAATATGCATTATTAATGAGCGAGATAGCTTAATGAGTAGAATAGATCAAAGTTTTGAAAGATCATTGTAATACTTATTATAAAAGAGGTTTCTACCCCATACTACATACTGTAAGTCTATGTAGAAGTCTCAGTTAAGACCTTACTCTAGACTGGCATCAGGGTTTGGTGTGGTTGTATGTTCCTAGTCATGTCCCTTGATGTGGGAGATGACCCCTTTATATAAACAGTTCTAGTAGTTTGAGGGTAAAGCCTTCAGGTCTTGCCTCCTCTTCATAACTAATATATCTATTTCTGTACCCGAATCTGAAGCATAACAGAAAAAACAAAATGGTAGTTGATACATTTTGTATTTTTGATTTTTTAAATATACTTCTTCAGTCATTGTCCTGTCTATGATGAACAGAATATGGAGAAGACTGTGAATAAATTACTATAAAAGATATGTCTTTTGTTAGCCACTTATGGGAACTAGTTTGCTCAAAGGGCATTGACCTTGTTTTATGTGAGTTTGTAAAAATAAAAAGTATCAAGAAGCTGGGCTTTTTAGTACTTTAAGGAGTAGTTCCTATCTGTCATGTTATGCTAATTAACATAGGCTACATTGCAATAGTTATGTTATTTTCTTCTGAATATGAAAAGACACTGCTGGCATCTTACAGAGCAGACAAACATGTTTAAAGCGACAGCCTGGTTGCTGTTCCTTACTTTCAATTTATGGGAGTTAACAAATTGAGAAGCAACCCTGAAGCAGAAGTAGAGATTTTTTTCGCATGCATTTTTACCTGTATAATGACCTAATCACCTTCAGTTGACTCATTTGTTGCAAGGTTATGCTATGGTAAAACACCTTGTTTAAGCTGAAGGAGTTGATTCTAGATTGTAACACTGATTGCAGCATGCCCACTTGTTCACTGAGAAATGATGTGGAGTTGTATATGGTAGCACTGCTCATCTGGGTCTGCATGCAGGAGTAGTATAGTGATGTCTGCTCAACATCGTGCTGGAATAACATTGCCATACTGCTTTCAAGACCTGAGGTAACGTCTCCATGTGGAACTTCACTGCTGGATGTCACAGCATGGACATCACAGTGCTCTCAGAACTAGTTCCAGTTCTCTACTGATTTCGTTGCCCAGCGTAGCATTATCTGCAGTTGAGTGCTGCAGTGAGATACTTTCAGCTTCTAGAGAAATCACAGATTAGAATAATATGTATTTAAGATTGAAGGGGGAAATAAAACATTTTTGCTTGAGCAAAAAGAATAGGCAGAATCCATCGTGTGTCATTTTGCAGCACTCAGGCAGAGAACATAGCCATTTTGATATTTATGTTAGAGCTATTTACTGTAGCTGCTCTTATTACTCCTGAATAGCACTGAGCCGCCCATACTAAGCTTAGTAGTAATTACATGAAAATCAAGGCTTTTGTGTCTTTGATTCAAACATAAGCTTTGTAACTTGAGTGACCATTCTAGTGATACTGCAAAACATTGTTAATGAGCACTATTCGTAGTGCTTGATGTGGGTAGTCTACTTCACAGAACTGGGAAGAAAAAGGGGTTCTTACTATGAAGAGTTCGAAGCTTAAGCATGCAGAACACAGATACAAACAGGAAACAAAAGCAGGCTCTAGGTGGTGAGAATGAGCACTGTGATGACTGTAAACTAAGTGGAGAAGAATGGGTTTTTGAGGCTGCATTTGGAAAGTGCATACTATGGTAAATCTCTTCCTCAAAGTCTGTGTGTCTCAACTAAGAAACATTTATTGTTCAACTGAAAATGAGAGTCTACTTTTCAGCAAAGTATCTTAAAACAGACCTGTAAACAAGTGTTCTGTTTTGAATTGGGTGAGTGAGTTTTTGGTGTGGTTTTTTTTTTTTTTTTTCTATTTTTTAACCTTGTCAGCTCTGTAGTTGAAAAGAAAAAGCAAGCTGTGCATTAAGTGGTATCTATCACAGTCTTGTAGTATAATTCAAAATTACAGTCCTTGCTCATTATTAGGTTATTGGCAATTGAAGATTCCATTACCAGAATGCCTCCTTTTTAGCAGCAGATATCATGATTAAGAAACAATAGGAAATTTTTCTCTATCATCAGCTTTTGTTTTTTGGATGAGGTCGTTTCATCATCTGGATATTTGAAAATTTTTTCTGTTAAGGAAATAACATAGTGAAAGGGCATAAATTACTCTGTGTAAAATAAGACTGTGTGTAATATAAATATAAACTTAAGTGATTACAGTCTCTGTTTTGTTTTTCAGAAATTCCTTTCTTGTTTTTGCAATTGATGCTTTTATTTTTTTAATGATGTTGTCAAATAATTGTACCAAGCCTTTATTTATAAACTTTTGATAAAGGTTTGTTAGAAACCTCATTTAGCTGTAATTCTGAATAACTGAGCCAGCATTTTTTAAATTTATGGTTTTACAGAGGCTGATGTTCTTTCACTGTACTACCATGAGTATGAACACTTTATTCTCATATTTTTTTATACAAACCTGTTTGCATTTGTTAACCAGTCATTTCGTGATGTTCCTTTGTGTTGATGACAGTGAATTAGTTATTAAAAATAAGATTTAATAACAGTTTCACTGTTTTTCTTATTTTTTGAAAGACAGTTATGGATTTTTCATGAAGGATATTGCTATTATTATCCCAGTCTACCCCCTGCTGGCAGCACAGTAGTATTAATTACGTTGTCCTATGTAACAAGCAGCTGTTTTATTAGGGAGCTAGATTTACTGTAAAGAGTCAAGGTAAGAAAGTTGTAGGAGGCATCTAGAAAAATACGTTTGGAGAATAGAGTTGTGAAGAAATTGGATTATTTTATAGCCAGCAAGAGTATACTTTTATCATGAGTAGACTGGGAGAAGCGACTGGTTGGTGAAGCTGTCTGGGGTATGTTCGTGTGTGCTTTGATCTGGGAAGCTTCTTCGCGTGCTGTTGTGTCCATTGTAATAGGACACACTGACTACTTCACAAGCCCATAGTTTACAGTTTGGCCCATGCCGAAACAGGTGTGATGTAGATGCAGTGACAGCTGGCATGCGGTTACTTGGTATGCTTTCATGTTGTTATTGTTGTTGTTATTACTACTACAACTACAACAACATAAGGCATAACTACACAGAAGACCTAGAGTAAAATATAGGGGGTTTTATGTACCAAGCTTACTAAATGAGAAGTTAACCTTTTGCTTGCTATGCTTTTCAGCCTGAAAGCAATGCTCACTGGAACTAGTTAAATATAGTACTAGTACAGATCTCTTATGTATATTACATGTTAATAGTTGTAGACATGGTAGCTTATCCAGTGACAAGGGTTGAAATGGTTCCTCAGCTCTCCGTTTTTTGTCTCTTTAATGGAAGTACAGTTTGCTACTGTGAAATCAGTCAGGTGATTTAAAGAGAAATGAACATTGCTTCTTGATGCTCTCTCACTTCCATACACTTGGTCAGCATATTTCTTCAGGTGTTTCTTTCACTGGACATAATGCTTCTGCTTTCCCAGTACTGAGAAGAAAGGACTACTTCACAGGCTGTATTCCTGCTCATACTCCCAATTATGTTTTCTTTTTTTGCCAGTTTGTTGGTTTATGTTCAACTTGTCATTTGTCATAATCATCCAGATCATTTTATTTAATCTTGCTGCTTGGCTGGTTTTCTCCTTCACCATTTGTCTGTAGCCGCTTAATCTTGTCTACAAGTAAGCTTTGCGTTTGTCCCTATGAAATTGCAACCCTTTTTTTTTTTTTTTTTTTGACCATTTCTGTAATTATTTAAGATGATTCAGATTTATGATCCTGTGCTACAACATGTTTTCAGCCCCTCCTAGTCTTCTTGTTATTTCAAATCATAGAGATCTAACTACATTAAAGTAGGTTGTTTATTAGTACAAAATCAGCACCAAATATATTTTGGTCTGGTTTTATGCTCTTTACATGCTTAAAATATCTTTCATTATTGCTCTTAATCTGAAAGATTTAAATACTGATGCTTATGATAAAATGTTTCATAAAAGTGTGCCCCCCAAATATTTATGAGACATGTCAGAAAAAACAAATCTAACATACATTTTCTCATTATTTTCTAGTACTTTTTAAACATATGTTAACATACATTCCTTGTTATTTTATAAGACTTTCAATTGAACTTAACACATAGAGAATAAACTCTAAAAGATAAATCAGTAGTAGTATTAAAATAAGTCAGATTCAGTAATAATACTCTGAAGCTATTGCTGTGTCTTTGAAAAGCAGAAGTTAGGTAGTTTGTATTTTGGCAGTTACAAATTAAATGGATTAACTTTTTCAGCTGTCTTAATTAAACTCTTTTAATCAGGGGAAAAAACCTCCACAAACAAACATAAAACCCAGCAGTGTTTAGCTATACATACATTGCACTGATGGGACAGTATTTCCACAGAAACACGTGCTCTTGTCAGTTACTTTATAGGGTGGCAATGTTGATGGTCTTACTGTTTAGAAACATTCAAGACAGCATAGTATTTCTGTCCTATACAGGAACACTGGCTACCTTGCTATGTGATCACAGTATGTCCATACTCAGCTTTTAGGAGAACATAGATCTTTTCTCTATTTCCAAGTGTCCAAAATTTTGGGTTTGTTTTTGTTTTTTACCTCTCCCCTCCTTGTTTTTGTGCCTTTCTGCCGCTACTGTGGCATCTTGCTTGATGGCTGATAACCCCATCAGCTGCCCCAAGCAATGCTTTCAGTGGCAAAGCTCCTGTCTGGCTTCACCCAGTAAGTCTGACCCAGGCTGACTGATGCCTGGGAAGCCCATTGCTTTGTGGGCTGCAGTCACCCTTCAAACCGCTTCATAACACTGCCCCCTCTTACACAGCCATGAGATCTGTTTCTAACTAGACATACAACTTTGTTCTAGTTCTGTGTGGTGCTTGTACCAGCCTTGAATTCGTTGCCCATACTATCTGATTTTCTGGCCCTCAGTATTGTCCTATGAGCTCATCCCTCTTGTCACTAAATTCCTGCACATCCCTTTTCTTTGTTAATTCAGTTTGTTTTGTATTATCTACCCAAAGTTTGAGTGTCATCCTGTTTCTTGTCATCTATTGTAACATTGTCTGTTTTGTTTTGTTTTGTTTTTTTAACCTGTTCTTATATGTGGGCAATGTAATAAATGCTTGTTTTTAAACCAGATGTTGCAGACACATAGGTGAACCTGCTTGTGCCTACAGAAAATTGTAACAACTTTATTAGTGATTGTGCTTGGAGATTGTACATGTAAAAGATGAACTGGCATTTGTAAATGAGAAGCTGTTTAGTTGCATAAACAGAAATATGTAGTATATGTGAGAGTTAAGTATTATCCATGTATACAAATACATCGAATTACATGAGGGCTTTATGAAGTATTTGACAAACCAGTGTGTGTTGCCAGTTTTGTACTGGTATTGTAGAAAGAACTTGCAAGCAGCTGTTAGTTGTGTATATTCTTTTGACAGTTAAAGGTGTAATAGGTTTGGGTTTGTATGTCTTGGTTTTGTTACTGTTTTATGGTTTTATTATAAGCTAAATGAGTTTGGTTAAATCCGCTTGTCTGAGATAGGCTTTGTAATTTTCATTATTCTAATTCTTAGTGCTATTGCCTAAATGTGACATTATACCCTGTAAATCTATAGTTTAGATTAATATTTTATAGATAACATTTTATGTCTCTACAGGAGATCTGTATTGCAAAGCATAATGAAAAGATCCAGCAGCGTCACCAGAGCGAGGAGGAGTACAAAATGCACCATACTGTTCAGCTAGTAAGTTTGAGTTTTCTGCTGTTGAGTTTAGCCTTTAGTTAATAGCTTGCATTCCTCATTATACATTAATTAGGAGAGTGTTCAGAGTGATAGCTGTTTTGAAACAGTGGTATATATACCTGAACTTTGCACCATGGATTTCTGTATCATATTATGCTGGTAAGGGGGAGTATATAGCTGTGTTAGGACAACACTGAACCGAAGCAAATAAAACAGGTATTTCATGCTAGTTTCTCAGTCGAAGTGATTACTACTAGTGTTATGCTGCATGCAGGTTGTTATCACGTGCACATAGTTGATTCTGGACATCTCTGAGTACAATGTCGGATATGCTGAGATGAGGAAGGAAACCATACACCTCTATTCTTGAATCTGTATATTAATTATTTTTCTTCTTTCTACAAAATAAATAACTTGCATTATATAAAGTCATAGTTCAAGCTGCACAATTCTCTGCACAGTGTCATTGCAGAGAATAGTCCAGCTAGTCTAACTCTTGTGCTGAACATAATAGATTTTATCTTAAAGAATATTCAAATTCTGATCTAGGTCTTGGGAGCTGATATAGTATCAATATTTAATAAAGATCAGTGACAAAGATGCATTGAAATCCAAGTCTCTTTAATTTAGGCTTCAGTTAGATTAGTGAAAGTGATTCTATTTCATCCTTATACATTTTTAACATTGATACATTTGTCCAGGAAATCAGCTGCATAATTTATTTTATGAAAAGGCTATTTGTGAAAGACAGTATGTGTTGGCATACTCTTTCAGGAACTTAGAGAATTTTTTTTTTCCCTTAGTTCTTACAGTAAGGGAGAAGAGTTTGCTGTGTGGATTGTAGTCCATTTATCACTCTTAAAAATAAGACTTGACAAAGCTGAGGACTTTCTTGTCTCGAACAGTACAGGGCTTTTTGACTATTTGTTTCATGGGGTTGTCCACTTGGATTATATAAAGAACCTTAAGCTTTTTTTTTTTTTCTGTTAATAATGTGACTGAAAATTTTGGCTATTATTGTAAAATAGGTTTTCAAACAATGGTTTTCATGAAAAACTTTGAAAATATAAGCTCAGATGTGTCCAAACCTGAAACCAAATAAGAATTGCAATTTCACTATTATTTAAAAGCAAAACAAACCAAAAAAACTCAAATCAAAACAGACAAAAAGACCCTTTGAGTTTGAGACTGCTTCTGGAGAAGTTTGATCTGATTGCATATGTGCCATGGAGGTATGGTGGTTGAACTACCCTTTCTTCTTGCTATAATCTTTTCTTTATGCTTCTGTTTTAACTTCTTCACCCCATTGATCTGTTGTGTTCTTTTCACTACATGCTTCTATTCCTCTTCACCTGTTCCTCTTTCCTGTCCTTACTGTTTTTCAGACATGTTCTCCTCTTCCTCTCCCTAATGCATCCATATTTACTTTCTTCAAAATCACGAGTTGGCACTTTAGGAAGGACACCAGGCCATTAGCTGACTTCTGAAAATGGCAGCCAGGCAGACACTGCTCTTGTGTTCACTGTATGACAATAAAAGTTCACAAAAGTGATCAGAATTTTTAACTGTGATGATGAAAATGAACTGTTAAAAGTAATATTAAATGCTGGGAGTCATTGCAGAATTAAAGCTGTTGTTTCTGCTCAGGGCTGTTTCTTATAGGCACCTGTTCTATCACTTTTCCTAATAACTTCTGAGCTTGCATACAGTGACATTTGCCACCTGATAACTAGCATCCAGTTTTAATATATCTGACTGAAGAGTAGTGGTGTTTCAAAGATGTAGTAACTTTGCTGAAGTTTTGTGAAAATAGGTGACTAGTTAAAGGAGGTGGACACAAACGTCCAGATTTTCATTGAGGTAAGATCCTCAAAGAAGAGAAAAATATAGCTGTCTTAGTTGAAAGGAAGAGCTTCAAACCTTTATTGAAGTAAGATTACAGAAAATCAAGCTGGATTAAATAATGACATCTTAAGTTAATTAAATATAAAATTTCCATTTACTGTTTTAAACTACAATGAAAATGTTTACTTAATTTGCCCAGTATTGGATTCAAAACTTTGTGACACTGAGTTCTGTGATTTCTCGCACTGAAAATACTAATATGACTTGTTTTAAATGGGCAACCTTGCAATTTGTACGGACTTTTTTTAATTGGAATGAGAGAAAATGGATACTGGTATGCTGTCTGCCTAGTTTATACCATTTTTATTTAAGGGGGGCTTTTTTCAGTATAACATTTTGTCACATCTCTAGAATTGAACATTTTTCAAGGTAACAAGCCTTCAAGTGTTCCAATTCCAGATTGAAATCTTTTTTTACTGAGCTTTGTATTTCTTCAAGATTATAAAACATGAAATAGATAATGTTTTTTAAGGGGAAGACAAAGGCTAATTTCTAAAGTTAAGAAATGTGTTTGAGAAGTAGATTCTTAGGTAATTCTCAACTACTAGTAGAAGAGTTATTTTAATTCAATTTTTAAATGATGCTAAACATAGCATTGGATATAATATTTACATGTTTTCCATATATTTTTTCAGAAGCGAGATCAATTACAAGATGAAGAGGAAAGAAAGAGCTCCTGGGTTAGTCAGGAACGACAGAAAACACTGGACAGACTTAGGACATTTAAACAGGTAACAGAAGAAGAGTTGTTCTTTTCCACCAGTTTCTTTTGCAAAAGACATTTTCACTCATTCCAGGACTATACTATTGTATGAACTATTCACCTTCATTGTGGTGTTAAGTGTTCTTTGAAAAATTTACAACAAAATACAGCGTTGGTGGTAATGAATTCCTCTGGCTGTTGCATTCTCAGTGCTGTAATAAGCTTTCTGTTCACTCTTACATCTACACCTAGTGACAAGATACTTAGCAAATATTCCTTAAGGAAGTATAATCTAAGTGGTATTTCCATAAAGAGCATTACCAACTGATAAACAAACACTACTATTGATTGCTAGAACACCTGCCAGTAACTGCCCCTTCCTATTACAATGTAAGTATCAGAAAAAGATAGAAGATGGAATGAAGGGGAGAAAATAAGGAAAGAGGTGAAAGTGCAAGAAAACAGACTGTATTAATTGGCAAAGATTTTTTGTTTTGTTTTGATGAATGCGTAAAAAAAATAGAGGTATGAGAGGTTTCTTTACTAGAAAGCTGTCTTGTTCAGCAGCACACTCTTCTTACTGTTTGCAAGGTGCTTGAATTGCATAGCTTCAGTAAATAAAGTAAATTTACTTATTTTAACCAGCAGCTGTTAATGAACTGACTTTATGAGCATGTTTATATTGCTGGGTTCTCTATTGCTTTAGGCCTACCATGATTGTGTAAAATGTATTAGACCTGTCTTTCAGAAGCAGTTTACGTTTTTGCAGAAAAATGGCTACGGATGAAACTAATATGAAGAGACACATATTAAGGCAGCAAATTTAAGCACTGAATTAAAAATACTTCAGAAAGTCTCAGAATGTTTGAAGTTTTCAAGAAATACCTTATTATGCAGTATGATTCACATCTAAGGTCAATGTACTAGGTCAGAGTGGGCTATGTTGCAGAGGGAGCCATTGACTGGTTTTAGAAAAGGAAAGCAAGAGTGAATTTTGTATTTTAGTTTCCATAAAAAAGAGTTTTGAATGTAAAATCTGGTTTTTAGTGAAATTGTAGTTCTAACCCATGTACATCACTGATGAGACCAATCACATGTAAATTGTGGCTTAACCAAGAATAAAAATTAAGAAAATGGATCATTTTTTGCATAAAGGTGAGGATGTATTTGCTTTGTTTTTATATCCAGAGCAAAATGAATTAAAAGAGCAGATGAATTCTACTTGCCAAAGGCAAATCGTAACGAAAGGTACTTAAGAGTATAGAATAGTGTGTTGCTTGTACTTACCTAATTGTCAATAACTTACTCACTTTAGCGGTACCCTGGGCAAGTAATACTTAAATCAACCAGACTACGGCTGGCTCATGCAAGAAGAAAATGTGCAGCCAGCTCAGTGTCCTGTGTCGATCAGCCTCAATCTTTGCCAGCAACTATACAAATCCAAGACAAAAGTGAAGAGGTGGAATTGGAGAATGCAGTTCAGCCTTTGCAAGTTCAGGAATCCACGAGCTTAGAACAACTTCAAGATATGTCGTTACCTCCCAATGGTGTTACCTCTGAACTGCATCACATTAGTACTTCCCCACTCACCAGTAGTGAACTTCAGCCAGATACTGTTACTGTAGTACCACTTCCACCCACTTTGCCTCCACCACCTCCGCCTCCACCTTTGCCCTCCAAGGAAGATGCCACCAAGTCCTTAGAGAAAAGCGAAACCTTTGTTAAACGTCAGAGTGAGGAGAAGGGAGTCCAGCACTCTTCTGGTGTCCCACCAGGTGCACATCTGTTTGACAGCAGTCAGCTAGTCAGTGCCAAGAAGAAGCTTAAGAAGACTGGTGATTTGGAGGGTTTACAGAGGAGGAGAGGTAATGTTTTCATTTCTGTGTATTTAGTTGTAATGCGTATCAGTTCCTCTTTTGAATTACTCTACAGAAAAGTACATGCTGTGAGTCAACCATAATTATTAATGGGAAAGTTGTTAAATCCTTATCAGCTGACAAATGTTGGCAACTCAGAGAAACGTTAGGACCTTTACAAGAGCATGTGGTATACTTGTTCAGTTAGACAGAAAACATTTGTGAAACTGAGTCTATGATAAACTGTGTTAGACTAGCTAGAAAATGGAGGTAAACGTCTGAAAGAATTTTTTTCTGTCTAGTTTACAGCTGCTACTGCAAATACATGCTTCACCTGAGGGTACAGGTTTTTTTTAATAACAGAATTTTACATAATTTATGAGCTAGTAAAATGAATACTTGTCTTGGGACATAGGAAATGTTGAGAACGCTTTCCTCAAGGTTTCTTTAAATTTTCATACAAAAATGCACAAACCTTCAGATGCCCTTGAGAGTTGAATAAGAATATATATATATTTAACTACAGGTGAAAATTAAATCTGTAATCATTTAGCAAAGCATGTTAATAAATAGTTAAAAGATAAAAAACTTCTTTGGAAACTGAGGAGAATGACTAGAGCACAAGGCTGAGCTGGGAGATGTGTTACAACTTGTGGATTTTGTGCTACTTGTTTTTAACTGTTTATCCTTTATCCCATGTATAAAATGGGGAGAATGGCAGCCATGCCTGAACAAAATAATCCTGGTGTTTCAGTGAAACATGCTATATTGAAGCAAAGTTTTTATTTGAAGATAAGAGATGGGATTTTCAAAAGCACCCAGCTGGAAGTCACTGAGAAAAGTACCTCACGTGGGCCGTGATTCACACTGCTGTAATTTGGCTGTAATAATGTTCTATTAAAAAGTGTATCTGGCCCTGTCAGTTACACTACAGAAAACACGCGTCCATTGACATTTTCCATCTTCCAGATAAAATCAAAATTAGAACTGCCTTTGTCAATCAGACAGAAACAAGAATGTTTCCTATAGAATGGTCCCTAAGTGAAAACCCTTGAAACAACTGCATAGTTATAGAATTCTTAAGCTCTAGTGAATCTTGCAGGTAGAGTGTCCTAAGTTCATTATCAATTTTGATGCTGCTGTGCTCCATTTTTCTTTTTCTGTAGTGCTGTGGTTTATTTTTCTGATAGCCATTTCATCTTGTGATTTTATATAAAGCATGTATTATGTGTGCAATTTGATATATAAAATGACAAACATAAAATCACATTATATCCATCCTCTTAAGAGTATTGTCAGTGTTTGCAGCAGCAGCACTCTACCGGCTGCTGTTTTTCCTGAGATGTTCCAAGTTTTAGCTTTGGAAACTTGTTTCGATGTGGCAGATGAGTGGTTTACACTCCTTCCTTCTTCCTTCAAATTTGCAGTCCTGTATTCTTCTTTTATTTCTCTCTTTTCCTCATGTCTATTCCAACTGTCTGTGCCTTTAGTCTGGTGGACAAAGCCCACTAATTACAGTTTTAAGACCTGTTTTTGATTTTTGTACAATATACAGAAAAGAACTGGAGATGGATATTAATCTGTTGATTGATATGTGCTTCATGTTGTACGTGCTAGCGTATGTGAGCTATTTCATACTGTTGTACTTTATTATAATGCATTCACTTGTAGCTCCTCAAAGAGCCAAAACCTGATTTTTATTTCTGCAGAGAACTAGTTTTAAATTAGTGATAAAGGAAGGATTTGTGATAAGGTATTGATTGACTCTCTTCTCTACTTCCATTAAGTATAAAGGAAGGGAATTTATATATGCACCCTGTGACTAGGTGCTAATACATACATACATAAATCCAGAGAAGCAGGAAAATGCATGCTGTTGCAGGTGACTATATTGCTGCTTCTCTCACTGCTATGTAGTAATAGTCATACAGTATGTAAAATTAGCCATAAAATGGAAGTGCTGAGAATGGGCTACACAGTCCAATTCTTAAGATACATATATACTCATTACCTGAGTTTCAAAGTCATGAAAGGTAATGTAATTAACACTTCCGTTCTGTTGGATTCATTTCAGCTATTTTGATGTCTCTGCCTGCAACCAGGAAAGCTGTCCTGTTCAAAAAGTCTTACTACCTGCCTGATAGGAGAGTAAATGGTTTCAGAAATCGTAATTGTTTATAGAAAACAGTTTTGATTGCTAACAGGGAAGATAAATTTGAAGGCTAAAACAAAATTGGAGCTACCATTATACTTACAGTATAGACTATCGTATTAATAGTAGGCAGCTACTTTTTGGTCTGTAGGAAGTATAAATGAAGACTGATTAAAAATAATACTGAAGGTCTTTTGATTTACTGCAGTGAGTTCCCCGATGGATGAAGTGCTGGCTTCCTTGAAACGTGGCAGCTTTCACTTAAGAAAAGTTGAGCAGAGGAGTCTCCCTCCTTTTCCTGATGAAGATGATAGCAATAACATCTTGGCACAGATCAGGAAAGGGGTGAAACTGAAGAAAGTGCAGAAAGATGTTTTGAGAGAATCCTTTACAATTCTGCCTGATACTGACCCTCTGACAAGGAGCATCCATGAAGCATTGCGAAGAATTAAAGAAGCATCACCTGAATCAGAGGATGAAGAGGAGAGTTTGCCTTGCACAGATTGGGAAAATTAACCTGTAATTAACCTAGATTTTTTTTTTTTTAAAATATTTCTTCAACACTTTTTGTATAACAATAGCAGCTAAGCCTCAGGTTGTGCATTCTAGGAGACTTAGTATGAATGTGACTAAACTGACATCCAGTGGGGTAAAACATGCACATATGAATTTAGTATCACTGATTTTTCAAAGAATTTAAGGTTTATAGTAAGGAAAACTTTTTTTTAGGCAACATCTTAGCCTTTGTTTGAACACTTTTGCTGAATATTGACAGGACTGTTCTATAAAAAGCTATATTTTATTTAGTAAACTTGAAGGGACTGTTTTTAGCTTACCAAAAAGCTTTAGAAAGCTTTTAAGTAACAAAGCAGCACAATCACTCTTGGACACACCTTGTACTTATTTTCTGATTACTCCTGACCTTGTAAAAATTTAGCATGTTTATCACTTCAGACTGAATAGCTCCAAGTGAAAGACAGTTAGATTGGACTGCTGAACACACTGAAATCTCATTGGTTACCCTCTGTGACTCTTTGGTAGCTTTGTTTCAAACTGTAAACTCTCTGACTTAATTGAACTTCCAGATATAAACAGTAAATATACAAATATATTCTTCTGCTACTCATACAAATCCCGTGAACTTGCATTTTACTAAGCTACAGTGCCTGAAAGTACAGCTACCACACTTCAGCAGATGAAGTCAGTGATTTCAGAACAAACCAGAAATTGGCAAGAGATTAGGTTTCAACGTTATGGTTCTATCAGTAGCAAAAAGAGATTCTCAATTACAACGACAGCATAAGCACTGTTTGTCTGTGATGGTTCTTTTCTGTTACTGGCATGTGGATGAACTTAAGTCTTAATGAGAATTCCCACTAAACTTAAAATTTGGAGAAAAGAGAGGTATGACAATCTAATTAATTTAAAATTCTGTTTAGAAGTCAAAGGGTATTTAAAAGAGTATAGATGAAAAATAATGAAAAATACTTATAATCCTTGCAACACAGCTAGCACTAGGAAAAAGGTAACCTTTTTGGATGCTTACAATCAGGTATTTCTACCCTGGTTAGTTACATACATAGCTGGAGAATGACTATCGATAAAGTCCTACAGCTGTTTAAAAAGTATGGTGATTTAGCACATCATCTGCTGAATGTCGTTGTGATTATGAAATACTATGTCTCAGACTGTTCCATGGTATGCTATTTTCAAGTAATATTTAACATTTTTCAAAAGGAAAATAAATGTTGCCTTTATTTCCTCATGAACTAGCCATGGCCACACTAATGATGTAATACTGTTTAATTATGGCATGCTCCTTCTATTCCATACAAAGTGTACTGCTAGTTTTGGAGTTGAAAATCCAGGAGTGGAAGTGTGCTTAACTCTTGCTGAAACTCAAAGTGAAAATAATTTTGCTTGGATGAAACTTTATTCTATACTTGCACACTGAAGACTCCCACTACCATAGCTCATCAGAAACTAAGTGACAGCTATAAGAAAATACATGCCTTGGAAATGACTTGGCTTTCTCAGTGCAGTTATTCTCTTTTAATTTCCTACTTAACTAGGCAAATTTAAACTTTGATTTGACTTTATGATTTTAGTACATCTTACTCGTTCTTTGGGATCTTGTTTGCTTTTTTTAGCAAGAATACACTTTAATTCTATGGGTCATTTAAAAAAAAAAAAAAAGGAATTTTCCAAGAGTGACTTTAAATTTTTTTAATCTAGTTGATGGACATCCTAAGCATTTTGCATTGGAAGTGTATCCTCTTAGACATCTTATATGTGCATTGCCATATAATATAAATAAAAGTTTTCATCTGTTAACTTTTGTAGCCCCGTAGAAGCAGTTCAGAGTGCAGGCTGAAAATCACTGCCACGCAGTCCCTGCAGTGCACTAGTTGTCTCTTACCAGTCTACAGATTGTGGCATCTTCCTCCTTTAAGGATGCACTCCTGTCAAATGCTGAGGTCCCATGAAATCACTTGGACCTAAAGCAGGATGCAGTGTCAGAGTTCTGAGTGCTCCTTTGAGTACTTCACATATCTGGGGTCTGCTTTCTCTTACCAATGTCATACTTTATTATGAAAACAATCCTGTTTTCATGAGACTGTTTAACAGATAGTACAGGTCTGGTTGAAAAAATGGCTGTACAAAATAGCAAACAGAAGGGGAAAATGGGCCCCTGCTAAGGAAGCGTGTGAAATAATCTGGGAGAACAGAGACTGAGACAAAGCCCTTGTGAAATGCAGCTGAATAAATACTTTTCACGTAGATGAGTGTGCTTGCTTGAACATACAGACTGGTTAAACAGAATTCGTTACACAAGAGTAAGGTCTAATGAAAGTCTGTTGTAGAAATTGCAGAATAGTATTTTTTACTTAAGGTTATCCATTTAATACCATGCTTTAGGGTTGACCTACAGTTTTTTAACTGGAAGCTCTGCACATACAAAAAAGTCGCATAGAGATTTTGGGTTGAAAACAGTTACACAAAAATGCATTGGCATGTAAGTTATGAACTATGGTTAATATATGTACATCCTTAAAGACTAAATGTAATGCAATTACTTGCCTTAGGAATGAAGGCTAAATCTGATCTAATGGTGTATGTATATCAAGTGCCAAAAAATATCTTAATGTATGTGCAAGGAGTATTAACAAGGCCCACTGAAGTAGTTTCATTAATTATTAAAGTTTAAAGGCAAACTAATAGTAACCAATTTCTGCAGGAGATGTAGTAATCTCTTGTATTACCAGCCTTATGAATTAACTTCTACATAAAGTTATGATTAGCTTTTTAAAGAGCAGTGCCTTTCTTACAGACGCTCTAAACGACATACAAAAATGTCGAGGCATTCTGTGTATTGGAATTATAGCTGAACAAGCAGTATACAGATGCAGTAGATTCTGTATGAAAAATCAAAAGATTACTGGTTATCAAAAGTTTCCCAAGCCCATCTGTGTGTGTGTGTATGTGTACATAATAGTACACATAAATCACTATAGTACATTAAGAGTACTGTAAGTAATGCAAGATCTGAATTCATGGGAGTGACAAAGTAATGGATAAGAAGAAAGCTTTTGCTCTCCATAGTCTTCTGCTGCAGTATTTTGGGCCTCTTCAAACTCTAACCTGTATTCACTGCCAATAATACCAGAAGGCAAAAAAAGACCTGGTCCATATTCTGTGTGTCCTGGCTCCAGAGTTAGTGTGTCATTACCCTGGGAGCAAAGAGAATCTGTTCTTTTGAAGATGCTGGTCAATGTTGCATGTTGGAATTGCCTAATAGATTGATCAGAGAATATTTGTACAGCTGTTTAGCTTTTCAGATGTTCCTTTTTTTTTTTTTTTTTTTTCCCGAACAGGTGATTCGCAGCCACTGATGTGAGAAAAGAAACCTCAGTTGAAGATTACTTTTCTTCATTTCTGAAAATTAAGAGCCAGCAGTTATGACCATCAATTCCACAGGAGGCTTCCTTTGGCAAAGAAAGAGGCTTTCTTTGGCAAATGATTCAGTATATGGAAAAAATGGCCTGAAATGTTAATTTTCAGGTCACTTTTTCCTTTCAGTTTGCTCATAAAGTTCTTGTTTGGGCAGAAAGTTGTTCAGATGTGCATTTTATATAACCAAGAATGCCCGAGTCTTAAGCACTTTTAATATTTGCTTTAGTAATGTGTGGCCAGTTAAGTGAGGGGAGCATTTTGAGTTGGGAATACTTGCTGTTAGAGTAACTTTGGGATTCGGCTGAAACATCAAACCAGCTATAAGATGTCCCTCCACTACACTGAATATATCATCTGCTTGAAAATCCAACTAAATAGCTCCTTGCAGAGAAGCTTGCTGTATAGCAGTGTGATATTCCGGAAAGAGCAGAATTCCTAGTTGCACTACAGCAGCTGAAATTCAGTAACATACAGCTATTCTTTTTTCTTCTTAGTTTGAGGAAGTGTGTGTCAGTATGAAAAGTAACAAGTGACCACAGCACAATGAGAAGAGTTGAATTCAGTACCTATTCAAGAATGTGTTTGTTTCCAACATGGTACATTTAGCAAGACATACTGCATCACCTTTTTAGAAGGTTGGTTGTAGTCTGACACCTTTTTGAAGTAGACATTTTCATGCTTTTTAAAAATACTAGCTATGCTGAACCAAGTTAGTTGTATTTCTGTCATTTGTTATAAGAAGCAGTATTTTGTAACTTCATACTTAAAATTATTTTTCCTCTTTTGGTTTAAAATGGCTTTTGATTACTCTAAGCAGCCTTTTTTAAAAATTATCAAAGCACTTAAACATACTGATAATTCGGTTATGAAAATCATGCTTCTCTTGCTGGTTTTCATTATTCCCTTTAGTGGCTGCAAAAATGTTTGTATTTCATACCCAGAATCCTACCAGCTGAAAAAAAAACAATTCCCTTTTGATCCTGATTGTTGTCTTTTTAAAGGAGAGGTACAACTTCCTCTGCGGTGAATACTTAGAAGTAATCCTAAACTTCATGACTAATGGCTTCAGGCAGCTACTCTTACAATACCACAATACTGAGAGCTATGTCAGTACAGAGATACAAGGAGCCCTGTACCATCTAGAAACTCCATGTGATATTAAAGTCAGCCCATTACAATTCTGAGAAAATTGAATTTTCACTAGCTTTTTATTTTTACTAGCATGACATACACTGTGAGAAATACACAGTTGCTGTCTTTTGTGTCGTGTGGTCTATTCACTCTTCCTCTTGTGACAGACTGTGTGGATTTTTTGGGTTTTGGTTCTGTTTTTTTGAGTTATGCATTGTTGCCACCGTGTAATGGAACCACATACTGTGTTAATGTTTGTAACAGAAATTTCATGTCTTACAATTTTATATATAAAGAGGAACATGAGAACTTACCTTAGCAATAGGCTATGTAACCTAAAGGAACCTCAGCTCTTGGACCTGTCAGTTGTTCTGCTGTGGCTGCCCTACAGTTAAAGCTCTGTCAAACATCTCAAAAGGATGTCACTTTACCCTTGCTGTCAACAGGCATTTTTTTTAACCTTGTTGCCTTATTTATAAAGTTAGTGAACATTCATTTTCAAAGCACCTGTAAGCAGCATTACTATAGAGTTGTATCAATTTTGCTGTATTAGTCATCAGGTCTGTGTTTCTCTGTCCTGAGATCAGCTCTATGAAATGCTTGATACTGCTTTCCAAGGACCTAATACAATATGATATTTTTTTTCCTACACTGCTTCTCTGAACCCTGAGTTACGTGGTGTGGTTGCAAGCTGTCTAATACTGTGTTCATGCAGCCATAACAGCCGTTCATAATCATTTGACATTACCTGTACCATAAGCTGTGGTGTATTTTTGCTCTACATTTGTCTGTACTTCTGGTCACACCACATGTTAAAACCAAGGTAATCACATTTTTAGCTATAACACAAAGCAGAACTATGATGCAATTCAGATTATAAATTCATCTGAAATGTAGTGCTAAATTAACAGTGGTGGTTGAGCAACACTTATGTCCTTTTTTTCCTCTTCTCCAGTCTGCAGTTGTATTCCTTAGAGTGTGCATATGGGACACTGGCAAAATTCCAAGCTGTGGAAAAATAGTGTAATTTGAAAGTATAGGTGCAGTGGTCCCCTTGCACATTTCTGTCTACCACCGTGTTCTGATTTATCTAAATAGCTCTGTGCTGTACCACACTACTGTTTTCAGATTTGTTTGCCGTGTGATCTGTCATCTTTGCCTTGAAAAATGTGTGCATGATTGAGAAAAATTTCTGTCCTTAATCTGTTTTATATTTAGCTGAAATCCTAGATTCCTGTAGTAGCTTAGTTTACAGAAATGGAATTCTCATATGAACAGGTATTTTATGTGCACACAGAAAGTAGTTGTTATGCTGAGCATAGGAGTTTGTATCAGTTCAAAACTGCCATCTTCAGTGGGGAAAGTGAATGGGGTTTTTCCTCATACTGCTAAAAAAAAAAATCCTAGATTTTAATCTTCCCTGAGTCACTAGATGTCACAATTTCACATAATTCTCTATTTTGATATAAAAATTGTGCGTATGTAGCCTACAGGCATAAAACTTCCCATCCTCTGTAATGTGAAATTTTGCAGTGGGATGGCTACAGCAGCAAATGGGGAAAGTTTATAGTCACAAGAAACTTACAGAAATTATGACAGTCCTGTATTGAGAGCGGTTCTTCCATTGCTGAGAAAAGCTGTTATAATTGTCTTGGTCCTTGAGAAATCTTAGCAAGCAGCTACAGAAAAAGCATATAAATATATGCAAGGAAGGAGAGCCCCCATAAAAAGATCTTTCTGCCTATTATTAGTATTTTTAATTTGTGGCTGAACTTCATTGTTGTGGCTGTGTTGTTCTATTGCTAGTCATTTATCTTAAACAGTTTGTGAGCTTTCAGGCTTCTTCCATTTTTAGAAACTTCTCTGTTCAAATTAAAACTGTTTTAGTATAGTGCAGCTGATCCAGTGAGGTAAAGAGTTGGAATGTGTAATGTTTATTATGCAAATGCTTATGTGAGGACTGAAAAAATCTTTTATAAGTGGGAACAAGAAATGAAATGCTGAATTTCTACTAAAATAACCAAAATGTAAGGTAAACAGCAATAGTCTTTTGATCAGAACTTTGGTTTCCATCAACATGAATTTCATACTCTCGCTCACAGAGGTTCCACATGCTTTACAAATGACCAGTAGTCTTACTTTATTCACTTCACTTTACTATATTTTCATATGTTAGTCAAGTTACCTCTCTAGGGTAGATGAATGCTTTTTTTCTTAAACATCACTTTTAAGGATTTTTTATTTTTTTTTTAAACTGACGGTGCATTCTACACCAGACACCTGTAAATAAATTACTATGAATTATATGTTGTGTTCTTTTATAGCTGCATTGGGGATAGAACTCAACATACTTCACTATGTTATTTGTAAAGAAACATTTTGAGTATAAGCACTATATTCTGTAATGTTTAATAATAAAGTAATGACAGGTGCATTTATTGAAGATGAAACTTAATGAGGAAGCAGAAACTCTTATTGCTTAATGTTACCCTTATTCTGTTGCACTGAATTTCAAAAGTGTAATTTGTAAATCAAGTTTGCTCACATGTGTAATCAGATATTATTTTCATTGTAATGCTTATGCTATTAAATTACCTGGATATATTTCTGGTAATGATTCCATGAGCATGGAGAATATGTTGTTATGTCTAGTGCTACAGAATTAATGTTAAGAACAAGTGAAGCTTCTTGCAAAGAAAAGGAGTAAACAGAAGCACCTTACTAGGAGAGCACGTTGCACGATGGTCATCTTGACCTTGACTGTAATTTGCTTTTTGGTGTAATAAGCACATTGACATACTGTTACCAGTGCTGTAAAAAGTACACTAATGGCTATTTTTAACCTATTAATATACTCTAATTTAAATCTTTCCTACAAAACGAATTTATATTTAATTGCTGCCTAATACATAAATACTTAAAATTAGAATTTTTAGGAGGGTCAAGGGTGGGTGGGCATGCCAGTGTATTTTTGCAAGGGGCTGTTGTATATACAGTTCTTTGCACTTCCCATTTGGTTTGACTGTTATTCCAAACCTCCCAGCTCTGTAGTGAATCTGCAACCTGACATTTCTGTATTTTTATTATGATTCAGGTCTTTTATATTCTGTGGCCCAGGGCTTCAGAATTTGACAGGAAAAGGTCATTTTTCCATTCCCAAATGTGAATACTATTGTGTACCTCTAATATGGAAAATGACCAAGCAATGAATTTTACTCTGCTGATTTTCTAATACTGGGTATTAGTTAAAGCTGACATCTAAGGCTACTAATCAATAGTGTGTCCATTTGGAACAAGTAAAAAGGACGATGGCCATTTGGTGAGTACAGTCCAAACTCTGCAGAGATTTGATTCCAGAGACTGTCACCTATTCGGTAATTAGTTTGCTGTAGACTGGCTTGATTTTCAGATTTAGAAACATATTTTTGATTTCTGAATTGGGAAATAGGCCTTGGGGATTAGTGATACTCACTTAACACCTCCTACTCTGCTACTGTGCTTCCTATATATTTTGAATTTCATCTTAAGTACGTACATCATAAGATGAAAGCTTAAGAAATACAGGTGGCTGGAGGTTGTCTTGCACAAATAAGGCTAGTGAAGTTTAATGAAACCAACTTCTTTGTTAAGCTTGTTGAATAAATAAGGAATAATCAAAAAGAAAACCAATTTGCTATTCACTAGCTTTGTGCAGTATTATCAGTAGATTCCAACACTAGTAGCACATTGTGCTCGGCTTTAAGAAAGTTCTTTAACTCCATTATATGCAAAAGGACATATTAAATGCATATTTTAGTGTAAACGACTCTGCAAATCTACTATGCCTAAAAATGCTTAATGTTATAAAGTGTTAAGCAACGAGTATGTTTAAAATAAAAAAGACAAAAAACTAAACAAACATTTCTAGCAATACCTAAAAACTAAAAGTTTTAACTGTCTGCTTTTTGCCCTTTTTTCTTTAGTGCAGCTTTTCTGCAATGCAAGTTTACTGCTGTGTATTTCATGGTTTTTATTATCATGACTCAGAAATTTAAACCTGTACACAAAGTACTGCACTCACCTTCTTGTACATGCGATGTAACATCATACAGTTTTGGTGCTTTAAAATGATTCCTTTTTTCTTTATTAAAGGATATTTATTTGATCACTGTCTGCTTTTAACTTTGAATATGTACCAGCATTAAAAAAATATATATATTTTAGTACAGTTTGGTTCCCACAAAAAAAATGTATAGTTCATTTAGATTTCCATTGTTGTTATTTTAACTACTCAAGCTGCCTGTCATTGCTCAATGGCAGATGGTTGTGCCTAGGCTATGTTGCAGCAGGGAAAAATTATATTTAGGTAATGTCTTTGTAAACTAAGTCACATAAACTGTTTAGGTATTACAGAATCCTGCTCTTAAATAATGCAGGCTAGTTGTGCTTAAATACGAATCATACACACTTTCCATCTCTTAATCAAAAGACAAAAACAGTCTCTGAAAAAGGATAAAAAGTTTAAACCCAGAAATACGAAGAGCTTAGCTCACTTACTACATTCTTCTACCATTTTAGAGCTAGCTTATGGCAATGCCGTTACATGGAGACAGCAAGCCTCCACCTGCAATTGCTTAAAAAGACAAGTAACAATAATGGAGAAGCTCACATTAAAAACATGACTTCTCCACTATTTGCCTTTTTGGTATATGTACAGTAATATTTCAAAAGCAAAATATACTGTATATGAAGAACTGGGATAGTTTAGAAGTACCTTTATGAGTGTTTTGCAGTTTAACTTTTTTTTTTTCTGGGGGCGGGGAAATATCCCAAAATAGATGACCAATCATGTCCCAGACTATAGTTGCCAGCTGTTAGTTTGTGGTTTTTTGTATAATCATTTTGTGTTGTTATTTATCTAGACATAACTCTTACTGAAAAGGTGTGTTTGTATTGTGTATCTTTTCCCCTTCACTTACATGTTTCTGGTACAAAAACTGGAGTGCAGGTAAGTCAGTGCAGGCAGATTCCATGACCAGCTGGTCCCTTAACATGAGGGGGGGGAAAAAAAAAAAAAGTGTGTTTCTGGAATAGGAACTTTTTAGTGCAATTACAATCCTGAGAAAGGAAGAAAATGACATGACACTTCTAATAACAAAGCGACACAAAGGTTGCATTTGCAGTACAAATCTACGCTGCCAAGTGTCTTAACCAAAATGCGAGCCGTGTCTGGCTCAGGATTTCTTGTGGTGGTTTTCACCTCACGTACGCTGTTAACTTGGGGTTGTGGCAGAACATGTGGAACAAGTAGGAAATGTGTTTTGAAATAAGCAAGTTCTTTGTTTGTCACAGACTTCTCTTGTGAAAGAGGAGGGTTGTATTTGTAGCTGAGGTCTGTTCCCACTGCACTTGCTGTGCCCTGGGCAGGGTGAGCCTGGTGCGGGTGTCTTCACACGTTCTGCTCTGCAGAACAAACTTCTGTTTGAGAGTATTTGCTGCCATCAGCTGTCATCTACTTTGGCATCGGCTTCGGTACTTCAGTAGCTGCTTTTTTACCACTAATGAGTATTCCTACAGGTTAGAAGTACATTTAATGGATGCATCAGAACTGCAATTCAGTGAATGTATCTGTAGGCACACTTGGAAGGCAGCGAGATGCTATTCAGAACGAGGCCTAAATGTTTGTACAACACATAGAAGATGGGAGATGGGTAGAACCATCATTTATTTTTTTTTCATGTTTGTTACATCTCAGATGTAAAGGAAAGGTACATTGTAAATAAATATTCACCTGACCACAGTCCTTTTCAAACTTGTAGAAATAAAACAGCACCTCTTTCTCACAGAAACCATTGGTATATGTAGGGTTTGTTTCTGTTACACCACTTCATACTCAGCAGAGGGAATGGGGAGAAGGGAGAGAAGTAAAAATGGAAAGCTAGTTTGTCAGATCTCATTTTCCAAAACCTATGAACTGCTTGGGTGGTTGTTTTGGTTATTTTTTTTGTTGTTTTTTTCTCAGCAGCTCTTACTGCTGCTTCCCATCATAGGGTGAATCCCATTTCACAGGCTTTATTCTTCCTGCCATAGGATGGAGCTCACACAAATCCTGGACTTCTGCAGTATCTCTAAATCACCAAACCACAAGTGTGTCACTGCCACCACCAAAGCCTGAGCTTTATGCTTGTGTCACACATCACTTATCTAGGTCTAGTGCTATAGAGTTTTGCTACTAAGTTTTTACCTGTTAGTAGGGAGGGATGTAATTAACCTAGAGATAAAACAGCCTCTGTAAACTTAGCAGCGTACCATATCAGACGTATAAACGTTACAAGAATCACTTTGCTGACACAAATGGCAGGAAAGATTCCAGAGGTTTCACCAGGCAGCTATAGCAGCATCGCCACCTAACCTGCCCTGCTTGCAGAAGTGCTGCAAGTTTCTGTCCAACTCTCCATCCTGCAGAATTGTAGACCTGACTTGTTCCCACATAGGTGCTTTCCTGCCCTTCTCCCCCTTTCCACCGGCTCTGTCTCTTACTTTCTCTAAACCTCACCACTGTCATGCTAACTGTCCAGACATTCACCAGCTTAAAGACAGCACATCTCCTCTGAACATCTCCCTTGAAACATCACCTCGAGAGGAATGGTTGGTGGATAAAAACAGGCAAAGATTCTTATCTGTGCTGTTACAGCTGCTGCCTGTCTGTGTAAGTGCTGGGGTTCACTCTCTCCTCATTAATCAACCAAAACTCTTGGAAAAAAACCCAAACCAAATCATAAATTGTATTGATGATCACTCCCTGTACCTGCTGCCTTATCCCTTTGTTCCTACTGTAGTTGAGTGCTGTCTGCGGGATCTTTGCTGGAAACACTTGTGCCACATCCAAATCACCTGTATTGCCTCATTTTCACTCTTTCTCCTCACCATGGAAGACAGACTTGACTTCTCTCAGACATCTCACTATGCCCCATACTGCTTATGTAAGGCCAAATACATTCATGGTCCTTCAAACAAAATTCACTGTTTACTTCATTCTTTTATCTTAAGTTCTCCACTTTGCATCACACTCCCTCTATATTAATGTTTAAAAGTCATAGGAATAAGAAAAATTAAAGAATCATGCAATTCATACAAAGCATTAACTATACTTTTTTTTTTTCCTCAGTACTTTATTTTAATCCCATTAAATTTCAGTAGGAATGTAACTGAGCTCTTAGCATACAGAATCATCAATGCATGCTTCAACTGCCATGCATGTTAACTGCACAGTTTAAAGAACACAACAGATGTCTTATAAATCAACTTCATATGAAGCTTCATAAAGTGATGGCTTTCCCCCCCCCTCCCCCTTGCAGTGAGTGAAATGACTGTTGGAGTGGACAGAGTCCTGCAAAAACAATTTGACAAAGAAGCCACTGCATACTGCTCTTGGTTTCTAATGATGTTTAAAAAGTCTTGAATTGGCATTAAAAAATAAAATTAGTAATATATATAAAAAAAAACAATCACACATCCTACCCTTTTGTTGCTGGAGCACATATACCTGTGCTATCCCCATAGTAGTTTCATGAAGGTTTCTACTGATAGAAGGTCACAGCCTCTCCAAGTGATCAATTCCATTGCCTAGTGGTTGAAGGCTTCTCTTAATATCAAACTAAGCTGAAACATTAGGTCATTACTTTTTCTCCTGCCCGCTACCACTGTATGAACAAATTATTTCCACTCACTCTGCAACACTGTTTTATGTGTCCATCGCCCCCCCACTCCACCGCTCCTTGCTCTGTCACCCAGCTTTAAATTAAGCCATGCTTGGTGGGTCAGCCTGGCAGCCTTTGCAAGGCCTGGCCATTCATGGGCCAGTTCTCTGGTGCCCATGGCCAGAAGATGGGATCAAGAAAAGCCATGTGCCAGTGAGTGACACTTGGAGCATGTCTACTCTCATTTAATCCATTCTAGGAAAAGACAGGAGGAGTGCAGGACTGGTCCTCAGTCCAAGGTAGCATTAGTCACGGTTGATTAACAGAGCAAATCCTGGTTCAGGAGATGAAGTTTGTCCCTCTTCTTTATTACAAAAAAAAAAAAGAAAAAAACAAAAAAAAAGAGGTATCTACTCAGGTTGTGTTTTTGGGGAGAACAGGAGCTGCAGGCTGCCTACCAGGACATGCTTTGCTTATGTTTGTATACAAACTAACATATATCACATCTAAAACACATTTAAATACTCAAAAGCAGTTACGATGGCAAGTCAATGCTATGTCGCATTTCACAGAAAAAAATCCCCTTCAAGTCTTCAGCTTTTAATCTCAATTTGCAATAAGAAACTTTAAACAGAAACTCTGTGTCTCAACCAGCATTTATCAAGACTGCATTACCAGCCATCTGGAATAAACCTGGGTTCTACTCCCAGCCATCAGCTGCCCAACAGATGTAGTGTCTTCCTGCCTCTCAAGGCCCAGATACACGGATCTGCTGCAGTCCTTAGTGGATACTCAAGGTCTCAGAGATGCTTCTGAATAAGAAAGCGTTTGGTACTGTCGGTACCAGCTTGGTTAAACAAATGAATGCAAAATTTAGCTCCTGTTCCCTTTGGAGCTCACCCAGTGGAAGGAGCCTAGCTGTTTCTCAGGAGGACACCAAGATTTTTTTCAGTAGCCCATCAACTGGTCATTGCTATAGCAAGTCATGGGGTTTCCTTTAAAAACAAAAACCTATAATATACTGAAATACTGTATATTAAAATTTCTTCACTTATCTCTGTCAAGACCTTCCAGCCAATGAAGGCCTGATCTCTTGACACACCACTGTCACCAGCTAACTATTGTCCAAGTAGCTACACCCCAACTTTTATCCACTATAAGACACAGAGCTAAGCTTATGGAGGCCATGGAGGTCAGTTTATAAATTCCTCAAGCAGCAGCTCCCTCTTCTGGTGCAGCATGTCAAAAAGAGAGATTTAGAATGTCATGGTGAACTCAACAGCCACCTAGTTGCTACTCCGGAGCCGTAAAACTAGCCTCAATGGCTGGTTAATCTTGTTTGCTTTTACCCCTAAGTAAACCCTCTCCTCTGCCAGGGTTACAGGGGTGACTGCATGTTTGGACATACCGTGAGTCCCTGGTGTGGCTGCTTGCTCAGCCACGGGGCTGGCCTTAATTCCGTCTGGATTTTTAGATACATATGTCCTTGTTACAGCTTCATTACCGCAATTTGACCAAACTGCCACAACTTCCTTAAAAACCTTTGGACCTACAGCAGTGTTTGCTACCTGCCTGTCCTGCCAGTCCAGACTGTAAGTCTTGTGGCTAGATTTCCCACTCTGAATCAGGCACATTGCAGCAGTTGCACAGACATCTGCCCTTATCTGTGTACAGGTTCTCTCAGGGAAGTTTCCAAATGTTGCTTTAATTCCTTTGTAAAAGATCTGTCTCCTGTCCTACCTGATGACAGAAGTCCTCTAGCTTGATGGGAATTTTTGCTGCCAGGTATACGATCCCTTTTTTTTAGCAGGAAAATCAGCTCCGTTTCTTCTGGAAACAGCCTGCCCATCCTGACACATTACTGTATTTTGACTTGAGGAGTTACGCACCTCTTACAGAAATTTTCTATTTCTGCAATGCAGTCATCATCAAAAAAGAGCATACAAACCCTTGTCTTCTGAAAATACTTCCATTGCTCTCTGCTTTAGCCCACTTTGATTCAAAATACTTCCTCATGGCATGCTTCAGTAACGCTTGTTTAGAACATCCCCGATGCTTCTTCACTGCCTCTTGGTCTCTGGCTGGATGACTCCTTCGCTGAGGCTCAGAGATGTTCATGAACAACAGACAGCACCCCATACCTATAGGTATCTTCTATGTGAGTTTTTTTTTGTTTCGGTTGTTGATGTGCCTGCCTGGTGAGCAGGACCCTCAGTGTTCATGGATCTTACTCCATAAGCATTTCAGGACTTTCTTACATTTATTGTAAACATGCTTGGCTGCTCCACATTGCACAGGAGAAAAGAATGTAGACGGAAAAAAGGAAAAATGCAAGCAATACAGGATAAAAAAGTTTTGACTTGTAGGTTCAAATGATAACAATAACCACCCCAAATAAAGCATTCATAATTTCTTTTTCTTTCAAAGAGGTGGGTAAATGGTGCCTATATCAAACCAGCACATTACTCTGCTTCTTTAAGATCTGGAGGATGAAATTTCCCCTCCGTTTTCTCCCCCTGCAAGCAAATCTCCAAATGTGCAGAACGCTCTGGAGCAAAAAGGCTCGACTAGTAATGATGGGGCCACAGTTCAAACCAGCAGCTTCTTAACAAAGGACAGCAAACCCTCAGGGGTTGCTTCTGAGACAGACAGTGACTGCAGCAAGTGCAGCCACGTTTGGGCTAGCTTCCACACAGTTATCAGGGTGTAGCAGTGAGGCTGAGCAGCAGGGACTCGCTGCAGGCTGATTGCACTAGTTACTACTTGAGTTGCTCAACTGCACATTACTATCCTGTCTCCTCTCACCAAGTGAAAGTCGAAGAGAGAGCTGTGCCTTTCGCTGTTAGATTTCTGGTTTCCATTGCTGCAGATTCCTGAGAAACAACACTGCTGGAATTATAAAAATAACAGTATGTTCAGATGCAGAGAAAGCAGGTTTAATTTTTACATTTCCATCCACAGATAAGGGCTGTGATGTCTCTCTTGCAGGGAAGTACAAGGTCATTTTGCTTCCCGTTTCTTTTGTTTTGTTTAGAGAAAATTCCCATCATCATTTAACAAAATACAATCCAGACGCAGAGAATTTCGAAGATCTTGTTCCCTCTCTGAACACCTTAAGCTTGCAAATATCTGCATGGCCATATTTAATTCAAAAGGGTAAATTCATACACACAGATTATACTTAAACATACCTTGTCAGTGTAGCTCTTCCTCGCCCCTTAGCACCTGGATACACATAGGTCCTGAGCTCTGCCTCCTTGATCTACTGGGAAAAAATTCTTCCTCTTCAAGAATTACCACAGTCACAGAAATGGAAGCTCTCTTCCAAGAAAACTTCTAGGTTGCTATTCTCAATCTAGTGGAAGCAAAAGCAGTTGACACACTGCTGGATCCGTGCAGTGAGATGAGACTCGGATGAGAACAGATGAGAATCCCCAGAGTAGGAACGGGCAAGGTCTGAAACTACTTCGAGGTTAAAAGGAAGAAAAACCCCAAAATCCAGCTCAGAACTTTGTTACACAAACAAGACAAGTGATAGAAACTGGTGGCAGGAAAAAATAGGGAGTGTCATCAACCACTAACGAAGACTAATATCAACACCAAACCTCTAGAGTTGTGAAGATAAAAGACTGGAAGGACACGGGGTTTGCAGACTGTCAGGACTCTGGCTGTGTTCATGGAACACAGACCTAATGCTGACCTTGAGGAGCCTATAGCAATCATAGCAGAGTTTTGGGGCAAGTCAGGTGTGCTCAGTATTAGCATGATGTGAATATCTAAGGAAAGCAAGACCCTTTCTAACTGCTGCACAGTTCAGATGGTCTGTCCTTTGCTGCGCAAACCATTCTCACCTATTTCACAGCTACCAGGTCTATGTAAGGGAATCTTTTTGACAACTCTGCATTTCCCCCGCCCCCCCCACCCCCTTCCAAATCTAAACCAGCTCTGGTAGTTACTTCTCCTTCGAATGCTTGTATCCGAAAATGACACAAACTGCCAGATGTATTGTTGCAGTTGAGCTTCGCTGTGCAAGACCCATCCACAAAAGGAGAAAGTGGGTATAAATTACGCTTGTGTTTCTTTGGTCCTAGGATGAGCTGCCAGCAGTGCAGAGGCAGTACTGCCAGCTACAGGTCCCTGAGAGGTTGTGGCAGGCAAGCTATGAGTCCCCATATGGTGTGAAAACCCACTTCTATCTATAGCATCTAGAGGTATTGTGATGTAAACAGTTGCACCTGCTTTCTGGCTACTTACACAAGCCAGAAGAGTGGACATGAGCTGAACTGACTCCAGGATCCAACACAAAACTCTGTTCATTGTTCCCAAACATTTAATGTAATGGGGAAAATTAATCCTACTTGTCTGAAGTAAATGGAGTAAAACAAGGAACTAATGTGACTAAGCAAAAATACAGGTTTGAAAAAACAGCTGTTGTTCCATGATATGTTCTCTGCTTAGCACCATTCAGAGGTAGTGCACATATGCAGCATTACTAAGAAAATGTAAACAAGACAATTTGAACACTGCTTTGCAGAGTCAGGTCCATTTCCTGAAAAAATCAGTGTATAGCTGTCCACTTAACTGGCATGTCCAGATACTGAGACTAAACTATGCATGTTTGGATGGAGTTTCTTGATGGTCCTGTTCTTTAACTGTCTTTTGACATCCAGACCTAGCCTCTAATCAGATTTATCTTTGGCCTCAAGATCCATGATTTCTGCAATCAACCAAATTCAGTGCTTCTACTGACATCCACAATTCTGCAGAGAATTAAGGTCTGCAACAGTTTTCCATTCCTCTCTCCATGCAGTATTTCTGAAAAAGGTTTTGCTTTTGACTTTTGAATGCGGTGTTCACAGAGTGCTGTTCAGTAGCCACTTCAGTACAGAATATAAAAAATGACAGAATGAATTGAGGTTTAGCCTCTTATTGAAGGTAAACCTGAAGTTAATCCCCAACTGGTAGAAAAATGTGCAGAAATCAGAAACCTTTCACAACTGACAACTGAAAAGACACATCCCAAAATATTAATCTTTAATTGATGCATTGTTCATTCTTGGAGGGTTTTCTTTAAAGGAATTATCCTGGGAATGCCACCGATAGCATTAAACAATACTTATTTGTGTTACATCTGGTTTAGCCCTTTATTTATTCATATTTTACCTGAAAATGTATTTTCTTGAGACCTTATAACAGCATTTCTGCATTATCAGTTCATTTTGTTCTCCTTTTTCCTGGATATATTAGCCAGGAAAAGGAATTCCCAGTCTGTAACAGACAGATTAATTCACACGTTTTACTTTGTCCACATAGAAAAATGCAATTTCTGGATCATTGAGGCATATGGATTATGAACAAGACACTCCAAAAACTAACTATCCAGACGGGGATATACTTACAAAAATCTTTTATGTCAAAGTCAGGATTTCACAACATAACACGCTAATGCAAAATCCAGTAGCACCTGAAAGATTAAGGTAGCTGCTGCAATCACTTGCACATACTTGAAAAAGATTTAAGAAAAAAATAAAGAGTAAAAGTACACTCTCCAGAGAACAGCAAGTGTATTTCAAAATAAAAAGCTGTATTTTTGATATTTTTTTTTGTTGGATATTTCTGTTTTTTGGTAATTCTTTTTGCTTTTTTTTTTTTTTTTTTTTAACAAGACTGTAGTTGCCATGTAACAAGTTATACCCCATGTGACTGCTTTCCCCTCCAATGCAATTTCATGAAGTTCATGGTCATGTTTTCAGGCTCTAGTACTCAACACTGTTTTCTCATATACATATTCCCATAGTTTCATCAATGATAGATACAATGTATAATACCTGTCTCTGGGAAAGCAATGTTTAAACAGGCAAACTTTCACCTTAAAACACAAGTGGAGAGGCTACAGTAGGTATAGCCACCTAAGTATGAACTTCAGGACACAATTTCTAAACACTCACCTACTGTACATAAACATTAAAAATAGTCTTAGCAATAGGATTTTATTTATATGTGCACGTATGTCCACCTTATCCCATATTTATGTTTGGCAACTACTTGGGAATTCAAAGGTGCAGCCCTCAGTAATTATTTCAAAAAAAGAAATGAAGTGTATCTACTCTATGAGAAAAGAAATTCTCAAATATTAATTTCCAATTTTAAATTTAATTTCAATAGGAAAATATTAAAAATGTGCACATCTAAATTTTTCCATGTTCTGTATATACATATGTGTGTGTACGTATACATAGAAATACTCATGTACCACACATATTCACAAAATCTAAGTGGAAATATTTCTGTCCACTATTTTCCCACATGTAAATGACATCATATCTTTAAAAATGTCAGTATCATTAAAAATAATATTACATTTATTCCATCATCATCTTCCTGTGTTTTTATTCTTTCTTCATCTTTATTATGTCCACTGAGCATTAACAGGCCAGAATCCCCCTGCACTTCCACAGATGTTATGCCAACTGAATGTTGCTGGCATCACATTAAGGACACATCTGGTTTACAGCAGCTCAAGTGACAGGAGAATCAGACCCAAGCATCCCCAAGTAAATTAAAAACTGGTTGTATCTGCTCATCTGGACCTGATGAAGATATACACACCACCATCTAAAATCCACCAAATGAAAAACATGTAGCTCCCCACAAAGTTTTCAACGAGTAACACACTAAACCAAGCTCCCCCCCCCCTTTAATAAATAAAATAAGTGAGAAAATACCCTAAAAATATGTCAAAAACTTAAACATTGTGTACATTACATACTGTATAATACATGGCGGTTTAGGATTTGACCTAAACCATTTTCCTGACTAGTCAGGGGAGACCTGATAAATCACTGGAAAAGAAAAAAAAATGGTATTTTAGAAATAAAGTATGTATTTCTAATATAAATGAAAACCTGTGTGTATTATATAGTATATACACACAGTACAGACATGAAAACAAGCTTATCTTTTCTAGTTTTGAATAGCAGTCTCTAAGTGGAGAAAATTGTGTTGTACAATTTAATAAGCAGCTAGATTTCATGTTAAACATTCAAATTAATTTGGGGAGCAAACAAAGGTCCGTGCATCTTTTGACTCTGAAGTCTGACACTCATTCATACATTTTAAAAAAGCCCTCTTCAACATTACAAGCAATTTATGGCAAGAATGTACTTTGATGCAAGACACATGACATTTGGCTTACCTTTCAAAGAGGTTGTTTTTTTTTTTTAAATAAATCTATTATATAAAGAAATGTGTGTTTGCCAAAAGTCTGTTAAAATTACATCAAAACAACTTTAAAACCTGCTCACTGAGGATAATTGAATTCAATTTCCTGTTTTTAAACATTTAGTTAACAGTTCAGAATATTGCCTGGTGTAGTTTCAATAAAGATGTGATATGAAGACCCATAAAAGAGTAAACATGTCTCCATTTCAATTTGCTATGACAACAAAACTTCTAGAAACAGCTTTCTTGGCTGGACAAATTCAATGTACGAGTAATCCCTTGCAATAGCTCTATGCCCTTAATGCAATCTGTAATAAAACAGTTCTCCCCATAAGCCATTATTCAGAAAACCTGAAATTCATGTGACATTCTGAAAAAGTCTCCTGCAGAACAGGTTAACAGTTAATCCAACATACATATTCGTTATATGTATCAAGGCCAGAAAACAAACGACTGGCTATTCCTTGCTATCTGTGCATGTCAATTTTTACATTTAAAATTATCAGAGGTTTTTTGCCCTTTTTTTTTTTTTTTTTTTCCTGGGGGGACTCACCTTCCATCATAGGTTGGCTTCAAAATATAGTTAAGTGGAAGATAGTAATTCACTGTAATTACACGGAATTCATATGAAAAAGTAAACCTTACATTGGACAATATTGTAGAACACCAGAGTAAGCTCCATAAAGAAATGCGGTATCTTCCAGTATATATATATATATATCTATATAAATATATAGATATATATATATATATAAAACAACCAACCAACCAACCGAAAAAAAAAAACCACCAACCAACCAAAAAAACCCCAAAAGGAAGAACTTTATACAAGCAATTATAGTAACTTTGTTTCAATTAAAGATGCAACTCTCTCTCACTCCTGGCAAGAATAAATTGGTAAGGGCACTGCTTCTCTACAGTGCAAAGTATCCTGAGAAATTATTAAGAAAAACAAAATAAAGGGCTGTCATCACTAAGTTCTTGCACAAAACACAGCAATTAAATATCTTAAATAAATAAAAATAAATAGCAGATAAACTATATTGTGTCTATCACAAAAAGGGGATGTGACCTGGGACACTGCTAATTCTTCCATCACTGATAATTAGAAAAGGCTTGTATTAAATTACTGTTAGTATCTTTCAAGTTATCTGTGGCCAATAATGTACAAGGAGGTAATTTGTAATTCAAGTTTTTTTGTTTGTTGTTTTTTTCTTCAACTAGCTACAAGCTGAGTTCTAAATTTTACACTGAAATACGACTCAAATTTAAAACAAGCCCTCTCAGAGGAGCATTTTCTAATTTTGTGCAACTTTGACGCAGAGCCCAACACAGTCCTATGAAGAGAGACAGTGCATCTTTAAGCTGATTGGCACTGAAATCCCATTTTCTTTAGCTGCATTCTATTAGCTTGGCCAAGTTATCTCGTAACTCTGTTAGTTCAAATATTTTTCCATCAAGAATTTCTAAAAGTGTCTTCAAGTTATTGCGAAAAGCTTCTTGCTCATTCTGACTTTTCTCCAGACGTTGCTCTAGATCAGACAGCTGGCCTTCCAGGTCTTTGTTTCGAATTTCTACTTCCTTCAGAGAAAATACATAACATGTTAATGTGTTGTCTGCAAACAAAAAGCAGTCTAACCTCCTGCTGGTATTCGTGTGCTATTTTTGTCATCTCGTTTTTAAAACAATTTGTGACCCTTTACAGCTTCCACTAAGCCAAATCCCCAAACCCAAATTGTTATCATGATTGTGCATCTACTACCACTTCCTCGATTTTTTCAGTAATTCATCTAGAGGACAGAAACATTTGAAGAGGGATAAATCTAGTCTGTGAACAATGGATGTGATATACTTACTTAGGTAAGTTATTGTTTCTATCATTTGGAAATGTGCTACCTACTGAAAACAGCTTCTCAAAGGTTTACTTGAATTTAAGCACTTCCTGATTTAGACTACATGAATTGCTTGAGGACACAGTCCCCATTAAATGGTCTCATACAGAAACCCATCCAGAATACTGCTTTATGGATGAAGGAGTACTACCTTACTCCTCTCCCACATTATAGGCCTTCTCACCCTTAAGATTAAGACAGAAACATAAACTAGCAAGACTGATGTCAGGGTGACGTTACTGTAACCAATTTAAACCAGCAAGTGCAAGCTGAAGGTCTGGTCTGGCTGCAGGGGTGCCCCCGAGCACCCACCCACCCACACGCCCCGCCGAAGCACAGCCACCCAAGCCACCAGCGCCGCCGGGACGAGCGGCTCCCACGCAGCGGGTGGGAAGAAGAAGCGACGGTGTGTCACTCCCGGCTGAGGGGACCCGGCCCTGAGCAAGCTCAGCTCCCGCTCCCGAGGAAGGGAAGGCCCCTGGCGCCAGGCCGCTGGGACCCCCACAGCTCCGGCCCGTGCCCAACGGGAGGGAGGCCGCGGCCACTCGGCTTCGTGCAAACTGGGTGCCCCCCTCTCCTACCAAATCACTGGGGTAGCAGCCACGTGGGTCTGGAACAGCATGTTGTTATTTGTCCCATTCATTGCACACCTCGTAAATTCAGGCTAAAATGTTGTAATTTCAGCTACAAAAAACACTTCCAGAGGCAGCGCAGGGACAATGTACTTAGTACGCCACACACCCTGGGCTGCTATTCTCTGGAAATGTGCAGTGAATTTCTACTTACATACATCAGTGTTTTCTCAACGCCGCTTCCCTTTACAGGGGCTTTGTGTCACAATGCTTCAATGGGCCTGCTCTTGAGCTTTTACAGCTGGTTTCACACAGTCACAGGGAGGGAGATTTGGCAGCAGTCATTGCTCCCAGCAAGAGCGACTTCTCTTTCTGCCCTCCCACTCTCGCTGTTTTTGTTATGATTCCTATGTCTCCCTCAAAGCTAACAAATATGTTCAAGTTTACATTGGAGAGATCTCAGCTAACCGTAAGAAACAACCTGAGCCATACAGACGTATTTGGGCAGTCAGGAGCCACAGGTATAAAATGGTGCATTACCTTGCTTATTCTTTCTGCTATTTCTCCTATAGTAAAATTTCTATTTCTACTAAAGTAAAATAAGCCTATTTCTTTAGCTTGGTGTCTGTGTCCTTTGTGTTAACCCCGTCAATTGGCAAAACAAATTTGGCGTCACGGACAGGATTAGAACAAAATGTCATTTTTTAAATCTAAACGTAATGAAACAGCTCCATCTGAAATTCCTGGATGGGAAGACCTTCCTTATAGTTCACTGGATCTTGAGTGGGCTAAGGTCGGAGGACCATGTGAACAGTGGGAAAGTCGGCTAAAAGAAGCTGAACCACTGGATGTATTAAAATGTATCCAAAAATTATCTATCGAAAAAGGAAAAGAAATTGTGTGTTCGGGAAGACGGGGATGGGTTTTGTTAACAGCATATCGGAAACAGCACCAACAGAAAGAAAAACTGCTGTTAGAGCGCTCCCACATGGAGCGACAGATGTGTGATTTGCAGAATCAAATTGTAATGTTACAGTGTCAAAACAAGTTGCTTGCCGATAAACTGGATACTTATCAGACTGTAGCTGAAAGAGCTGCAGTAAGAGTTGCACAGTATAAGAAAAGAAGGGGATGAGTAAACCATAGGAAAGTGCATACTGTGATTGCAGAAGCAGGGGTACAGTGGGATCCTGACAGATGGGATGGAGATATTTGGGATTCTACAGGTTCTGATGAGGCTGGTTCCTCAGATGAACCTGTGGATGTAAAACCAGTGTGGAGACGGAAAATAGAATTGGATACTAACGGGCAACAAGTAAGGAAGGATGTGATTGAAGATTATACACAGCATGAAATAAATGATATAATTGAAAGATTTAAGCAGAGACCGGGGTAACCCCTGCTCTCTTGGATGGTGCGTTTGCACGATCAGGGAGCAGCAGGGGTAACCCTAGATCCAGAGGACTCTAGGAAGTTTTTAGTTTTAAGTTCTGACTCCTTTGTGCAAGATGCATTCCGAAATAATCCTCAGGATACAAATTTGTTAACCTTGGCTGCCCGGGGATGTAATAATAAATACCTCACGGAGAATGATTGGCCAGGTGGGGAACGTCCCTGGTATACTTTGCGAGATTGTATACAGTGGATGAAGGAGGAAGGGATGAAATTGTCAATCTTTATAGGAGACCCTGACAGAATGATGCAAGCTGCCTTGTCTGTCACTCATAGAAACCGATTGATTAAAACTGCCCCACCAGCATATAAAAATGTAATAATGACTCTCTTAATTAATGAGACCGGAAATCCCATTGATGAAATAATTGAAAAAATACAGCAGCTAGGTGATCTTGGAGAATGGGGCCCCCGAGGAAGTGCAGGAAACCAAAATACTCGGGACAGCCCTAAAGGAAATGAGAACAGAGTCTCTCGCAAAGAAATGTTTACAGCTTTACTGAAGGATGGCCTATCTCATGAAAAGATTGATGGTGTTCCAACTAACGAGCTGTGGCGAATATACAAACAAAGAGGGCTGAATAAGCCTAGCAAGAGAGTGCAAAGTTCTGAAACTAAGAAGCCAGGGGTAACTCAGCCTACAGCACCTCCTCCTGAGCCTCAACGGGACTTCCCATCTGCACACGGTGGGCCCTCCGCGGGCAGATCAGTTGTTCTGGGGGAAAGGGGGGATTGGGAGCTGTATTCTGATTTATACCCCTGGAAGGAGACTAGGGAAATTGTCCAGCGTAGTAAACAGGAATGAAATTATGGCCAAGATCCAGTGCAATGGGCACGGAAGGACCGACGGCCCCATGCGGAGCTCCAAATATTTTGGAAGAACCAGTCCTCACAAACAGTAAAAGCCTTAATTGACACAGGAGCGGAGGCCTCCTTGATATATGGGAATCCAAAGAAATTTAAAGGACAACCTGTAATCATTACAGGTCTGGGAGGGAAACAAATTGAAGCTGTACAAACTCAAATTGAAATGAAAATAGGAAACCTCCCAAAACGACTGTATTCAGTCATGATTGTCCCCATTCCTGAATACATAATCGGAATAGACATTCTGAAGGGACTAACTTTGAATCTCCCAGATGGTCAGTACCAGTTTGGGGTGAAAAATCATATCGGTATTAGAACAATTTTAGTAGGAAAAGTGAAAATGCCTCCTGTACAGATTCCTGCTGCTACTAAATTAGTGACTATGAAACAATATAGAATTCCAGGAGTGCATGAGGAGATATCACAGACAATTAAAGATTTATTAGATGCAGGAGTGTTGAAACCAGTTACCACAGCCTGGAACAATCCGGTATGGCCTGTCAAGAAAAGTGATGGGTCATGGAGAATGACAGTAGATTTTAGGGAATTAAATAAACACACCCCACCACTTACAGCAGCTGTACCAGATACTATTACTTTAATAGAAAAGGTTCAAAAGCATTCAGGGACTTGGAATGCTGTAATAGATTTAGCTAACACCTTTTTCACTATCCCAATTGCAGAGGAGCATTGGGACCAATTTGCCTTCACCTGGCAAGGACGACAGTGTACCTTTACCAGATTGCCTCAGGGATGGCTGCATAGTCCAACCATTTGCCATCGGACAGTGGCTGAGCATCTGGATAAGATAAAATTGCCTCCTCATATGCAAATAGTGCATTACATTGATGATATCCTAATTCAGGGAAACGATGAGAAGGAAGTGCAACAAATACTTGAACAGGTGGTAGATCATATGAGACAGAAAGGTTGGGAAATTAATCCTAACAAGATTCAAGAACCATCCCAAACTGTAAATTTTTTTGGAATTCAGTGGCATTGTGGGCATCAGGAAGTATTACCCAAAACTCACACAATTATTGTTATTGCCAGTTTTGAAAGCAATTGTGAAAAAAGGGGATCAACCTCAAGTCACCACTGTTCATGGAGATAAAGGGTTTGGATCAACCAATTTCAATAATGGAGCTAAAGTATGGGTCCAGAGTTCAAGTGGACCTCCTGAACCAGCTGAAGTAATAGCCACAGGAAAAGACAATACTGTTTTAATCATGAAACCTGGACAGGAAAAATGGGAATATGTTCCTGCAACTAAATGTTATCTGCGAGAATAACTAGATGTCTTAAGATTCTACCTTTTAGATCCTGCTAAGATGGATTTGCCTGTGTATCATCATGGTCCATTTGGGAAAGGCTTTCACACCAGGATGGCCACTGGAAGGTCCACGAGAGACACCGCTTAGGTGGCAATGGAAAAATGCAACCAAGACAAGACAACAGGATGATTTCCGATGCAAAGCCAATTCTGCCTGTATTATAGCCAATCTTACTTTCAGTACTCAGTATAACGAAACATGTACATACTGGTGGCCTTCAGGACCGGCATCACGATGGAGAGATCGTGGACGTCTTTTTGTAACCTGTCCTACAGATAATTCAAATGTCACTATATCTAGTAAAGTATCTCTTAAATGTTGTAATGTATCAGGTCTGCCCAGTTCGAAAGATTATTACAAATGTGTTAATCGAACAGATGGTCATGAGGTGAATGCTGCTCATGCGATAACTCTTCCCATGGAAGAAACAGAAACACTAATATGCCATAATAATTCAGTAATGA